TGTCCAGGCTCATCAAAGTGTCGCAGGCGCCCGCTAAGGTCCAATAGGCACCCGCGAAATTGGGCAGTGCACTCTTGCTGTGGCGGGCGCCCGCCGCCCGTTGCTGATTCTCTTAAAATGGGCGTCCAAGCCCATTTTGAATCTTTTAAAACCCCTCTCTTCTCTTTCTTTCGGCCTCTAAACCTCTCATTCACCCTTAACCTTCCATCTCCCCCTCTTTCATCCTATCCTCTTCTTCCATCCCCAACCTTTTTCGTCTTTCCTCAACCCCTCATCCTCATCTCCATCCACATACAAAAAAAAAAAAGGGGGATTCGTGCTCTCCATTGTTGGGTAAGTGTCCAACCTTTATTCCTCTTTCAATTTTTGATCATGTGGAGGCTGGGATTGATCGAATGAAAGTGTGGTTTGTGCTTGGGACTTGTCTTGTTGATTATAGGGCTCAAATTTTTGGGGATTTTCCATTTCTAACTCCCTTTTGTCTCTCTCTCTACTTTTTTGTGCATACCAAGTGTTCGATAAATTGCCCGAACCAACTTTTTCACTCAAATGGCGCCCAAAACCTCTTCCAAGTGAGCTCATTCTTCCGAAGGACCCTCCGGGGAGGCTCCCACACCAAATTGGGCGAATTGGCCCATCGAAACCGTGGCCAAATTTGACATCCAAAAGGGCTTCAAAAGCAATCCGAAAACCGCGTGGTCGGTCCGTGAATTGACGGAGCGTGGCCTCGCTTCTCTTTTCAAGCCACGCGCTAGTGGTTATTATCCACGTGTGGTCTACCTATTTTACGCGAACATGTTCCATTGATACGACAACCCGGACGTCATTAAAACCACTGTTGATGGCATCACTTTTAAGTTCAAACTTCAGGACCTTACCGCGACTTTGCTCTGCCCATTGGCATCTCCAGTGGATGAAATGGGTCTACCTCTGTACGTTACGCCTCTGGATAATCTAAAAGTGGCAGACGTTGTGGAAGAAATTTGCCACAACCAGTATACCGGCAATCGAACAACCAGCACCAATAAGTCATTTCTCCCATGCCGGCTCTGGTTCTTGGACTCGGTCCTGGCCAAAAATGTCCTTCCTGTGTCGAAGCATTCTGAACGTAAAGGGGCTTTTCTGAACGCCCTTTATGCCGCTGAGAAAGAACAATGGTTCTGCGTTCCACAGTTTGTCTAGGATCAAATTCTCAAGGTCTACAATGACCTAATTGTGATGCGGTCGAGCAATGCCATCACCTGGGCATTTCCTTTTCCATACTTAATCACCCGGTTGCTCAAGAACAAAGGGTTTAAAGCGCCCCAAAATGAGGAGAAGCTGACCGATTTGTTTCATTTTGACCTTGGGGTTTGGAAGTCCAGCACAGTTCCACTCAAGACTTCCCGTCAAGCTCGCATAGGTGATGTGTTGGATTGGAGAGCTCCAGCTGCTCTTGTTGCTCCGGCTCCGCCTATTCCTCCTGTTGCCCGGCCTCCGCATGCCATGCCGGAGGCCGCTTATGACTCGCTCAGCACTCGTCTTGATACACTCCAACTGCGAGTCGAGAGCATCGAGGGCATCCTTACGGACTTCTGTAAGGAGAGTCTGTAGAGGCTTCAGGCGACTCAGGATGGACAGTTGGCATTGCAGACCATGCTCCAGACCCTGATTGACCGCGCCCGAGGCAGCGTCAGTGGCTCATCCTACACCCCGATGGAGTGATTTTGTGCTTTCCATATCTATCTTGATTTCTAATAGTACTTGTTAGACTTTATTTTGGGCCACGTTTGGCATTTCCTTTTCAGTTCCTATTTTGAACTTTTAACTGCAATATTTTTACTGCTTTGCAGTGATATTTGGTTTTTAGCTAAATAAAATTGCAGTTATCTATATTCATTTTTGTTAGATTCATTTGATGCTTGTGGTGTATAGATGTCTTTTAACAGGTTTTTGAATTTAAGTTTGGGGGCATGCTCTTGGAATTTGCAATATGGTTTATTTTTGCGCCGCCACTGAATTTCCTCCTCCACTTGGTACTATTGTTCCATGTACCCTCTTTTCAATTTCATTTTCATTCTTTGTCTTCTCACATTAAGGACACTGTGACATTCAAGTTTGGGGGTGCATTATTGCATTTTTTTTGGTATTACACTTTTGCTCGCATGTTTAACTGGATTCATGTAAGTTAATAAAAATCATTTTTTGGAAGCAATGATAGAGTAATCTTGGAACTTGTTGGAGATTGAAGCATATGTTTAATACTTTGTGTATAGAAGCAAATGATAATTTTTTAAAATAAAGAAAATTTGAAATGATCATGTGAATTCAAACTGGTTTGTATAAATGCTTCAATTAGATTTTCGTCGGATTTCAGACTCTTCTATGCTTCACGTTGCACAGATGCACACCGAAAACTTAATTGTAAGGCATGCAACCCGATTTACCTTGACCATGACTCATTTAATTTGAATTGATGATCCTAATGAATGGATATCTTTGGCATTGAATCTAAAAATAAAAAAAAATAAAAAAAAATGAATAAGGATAATGACTAGTTTAAGTTCGTAACCTTACTAACTCGAGTTATTAAGCCCTAGGAGTGTCTTTACACTTAGCAACCTAAAGCCATCCGGTTTGGGAGTTGCTGGCCTAATGCTTGTTACATGGGTTGGTTAGAAAGCTTAAAGGACTTAGGCATTGCACAGTCATTCACAAAAATGAAAATAAATAAATATGGTTCGTTGAAGTTCGTAGCCTTGTCAATTCGAGTTATTAAGCCCTAGAAGTGTCTTTACACTTAACGCCCTAAAGCCATCTGGTTTGGGAGTTGCTGGCCTAACGCTTGTTACATGGGTTGGTTAGAAAGCTTAAGAGACTTTGGCACTGCACAATCATAATATGTATAGTATTGAAAAAAAAAAAAGAAAAAAAGTTGGGTTCTGAATAAATTCATACTTTAGGGACTTCATTTAAAAGGGAAAATCAACGATTTGAAGACTTGCATTCTTGAAATTGGAAAAAGAAAGTAAAAGCCACATATTGGAATCCCGGTTCACTTTCAATGAAGCTTGGGATGATTTTTATTATAGATATGACAATTGAAGTATTTATATAAACTATGATGTTGATGCATGAGAGTTAAAATTTGTTTAGCCATTTTGTTCATCAAGGCTTCATATATGCAAGGAAGTCTGCTTAATGATCCCGTCTCCAATAGTGTGTCTGTTCCAGGTTACAATTGAACTCTGCATATATTTTCTTACACCATGATTGATGCATGTGGATAACATTTCAAATGTTGTATTTTTTCTTAAGAGTTTCATTTTTGGTTTTGCTATGGGACTAGCAAAATGTAAGTTTGGGGGTGTGATAAACGCCGAATATTGCATATTCAAGCGCCCTTATTTGCATTAGTTAAGTCCATTAGCTGTCTATACTAAATATATTAGCCTTAATTGCATTCTTTTGTCTATTTTAAGGTTGGTTCCCCTAAGAGAAGTAAAAGTAACGCTTTGATGAGTTTTTGAAGATCAAAGCACGCCGTTACCGGGAACCATTATTTTAGTTAAGTCAAGTAATCCACGGAACTCATGACGCTTGATGCACAAAGTCCAAGGAAAAAGAGTAGAGTCAGCAGTCCGTGCAAAAGGAGGTTCAAGAGCATATTTTCTTCAGAACAGAGCAAAGAAGGCGCGGGTGCCCAGCAAAGACTCCAGTTGCATCTTGCCAGCGCGGGGCCCCGCCGTGTCTCGCGGGCCCCCCCATCAATCACCTCGAGCGCCCGCCAAATACGCCAGTACGCTCATCAAGGCGCGGGCGCCCTCCAATTTGCAAACAGCTCTACATTGTTTGGTTCAAGGTTGTCCCTTTGACCCATTTGTGTGGTCCTGATTGATCCTAGGGTTGTGTAACCACGAAAATAGAAGGAAAATGAAGATTTTTTGGCTAAATAAAAGGCTTAAAGCATGGAGAAAAGTCTATCTCACATTTGAGCAAGCTTCTAGAGAAAGAAATATTGTAAAGTGAGGGGTTTGTGTGTTCTTGAGCTCAAAGGGCAAAAATGGTGGAGATAATGATCATCTCTCCTTTATCCATTGCTCTTATGGGTAACTAACTCCCTATCTAGGGAGGTGATGAAGCCCTCTCTAGTAAGCATGTTTTAGTCTTGGTTTATTTTCGGGAAAATGATATAAATATGTGATTGCTCCATAATCTAGAGCCTACACTTGATGTAATGAACTGAATTTGATATAAATGATCATGTTGAATCTACTATCTTGTCTTAGAATATATGTTCTCATGGTTGTATTGCTTGATTTTTCATAGTGATAATGAAAATGAGATTGTGGAATGGTTCTAATGGTATGTTGTATAAGAACCTTGTTAGTCCATAGCTTAGGATTTCCCTTTGATGGATTAATCTTGATTTTTAACTTCATGTGCTCCTATGATTTAATTGAATGCTTGATAATCTCTAGCTTAGTGAGCATGTCTAAGGCTACACCCTAGTTTAGGTAGTTAAAGCATGTAAACCTTTGATAGGTTATTCTTGCCTATCGTTTTCATGAACTTCTTGAAGGTAATGTAATAATTTTGTGTTGTTGCATTCCATGATTACATATATATATTGTTTCCCCAAGTTAATATCAACTAGCATGTTAATAGGGTAGGTAGTGGATTCACTTCCCTAGACATCTCTTTCTAGATATCTTTCTCTTGAATTCCTTACATTTATTGTTTTATATGCATTTCAATTCTAGTTACTAAGTAACAAACCAATCAAAACTCTATACACCTTTTATCAAACTAAAAGTGAATTTAAAGACCTTGGTTGTCATAAACTAGCAATCCCAGTGGTTCGATTTACCAGTTCAATAGCCCTATTTTACAATGATTTATGCTATTGCAAAGGGTTAATTTATTATAGATCGAATCTTCACCGATCAGTCTTAAGTGGTTGTGGATAAATATGTGTGTATATATATATGTGGTGTAGAAAGAAATCAAAAATAAAAGAAAAAATAAATTTAAATTTGGTAGGACCCACAATTTTTTAAGTGGTTATGAGACCACCTTTTGGTTTCATTTCTCTCATTCCTCTCTCTCACTCCCGTAAGTCTCTCTCTCTCCCATTCTAGATTTTTCTTTTTTTTTCTTTCTTTTGGGTTTCAAGCTTCAAAATTTGATTTCTCCTTCATTACTTAGAATTTTTGGAAGCCGTTTGGGGCAATTCGAATAACACTGCAAGATCTTCACATCCATATAAGCAATTTCAGTTGTAGTGCACTCTAGGGATTCCGATTTTGAGACCCATTTGGGAATTTTTGGCTTAATTTGAGGTAGGGGTTTCTAATTCCCAATTTCTTGTTCCTTGGTGAATCAATTTCTTATTAATTGTTGCTAACATGTTTAATTAATGTTAATTAACCCTAGAATGATTTTATTGTGGTATATAAAGTTCTTGATTTTATGAATTAATTGATGTGTATGAAAAACATGCTTTAAGTGTGATTTCCTATACCTGTTGTATTACTAATTGCTAGAAATGATGTATGTAAGCATGTATAATTGTTTTTAGAATTTCTTGTGAAGTATGCCTTATTTAAATTGTTTACCTTGAAAATGGTATAATTGTTGCAATAAAAAGTTTATGCTTACATGTGTTGATGGAATTTTGTGAAAAGCATGCCTAAATGTTAATTTTCATGCCATGGTGTTTATTATTTTCCTAGAAATTTCTATGAATAAGCATGTTAAATTGTGAAGTGTAAATTTCCTCTATTTTCATACTATTGAAAAAAAATATATGGCATGCATCCATAACATTGGGCATGAAAGAAAAGGGGAAAGTGCTTTGAAATGAAAGTGAAAGGGATTTTTGGGAAAAAATTTCAATAAAATGGTTTTTGAGAAAACCCGATTGCAGCGGAACTACCAAAGGGTTGTGGTGTTAATATAACCTAGAGGAATTAGGGAGATTACCCTAGCGTGGTTGAACTATCTGGGCCCCAAATGACCCCGCGGAGGTACCAACGGTCAGGGACAGTAGCCAATCATTCTCTCATGTCGCCGTGGAGTCACCAACCGACGGGTTATATTAACAGTTTGAAAAGTGATGGATTTGAATTTTGAAAATGGGGAGCGACATTCATGGCATCACATATCATGGCACGTCATTATTATTTTGGAATAGGAATTAATGTTGTATTTCTTCCCGGCATAGTATGACCCCGTTTCATATTTCTATTCATTGTTTAGATTCACGGGGTCACAAGAGGTGTGTCTTAAGCACCACCTACTGAGCAAATTGCTCACCCTATTATTTAACATTTTTTTCAGGACTCGGGAAGGAAGTAGGAGACGCAGACCCTTCACAAACTTAAGGAGGACTAGGAATATATATATATATATATATTTGCTATCATTTGTATATTCGCTACACTTTTGTAAAGTTTCAAAACCATAGTGAAGTGTATGCATTTTGCAAGCCATGGTCATGTATTGTAAACTATAACTCTTGTCGGTATTTTGAGGGGAAGCGAGACTATATAAATATTTTGTGTTGAATGGATTGATGATGATGGGCCATCTTGAGGAGGTTGTTGATGTTGTTGTTTTGGGGATGTATTATATATATATATATATATATATATATATATATATATATATATTTGCATTGTGTGTTGGGACAGGTTGAGTAAGTCTTGATGGGTCAAGAAAGACCATTGTATTTTTTTTATTTTATTTAAGCAGATCGTTGTAGATCCTTTTTTAACAGAGGTTATGTCGAATTTTTTTTATAATTGGTATTCAGTTTAGGGTTATTACATATTATTAAAAAAAAATAAAAAAAATAAAAAAAGCATTTTGGCAACATAAAGTAGTTAAACAGGTTTTATATAATTATTTCCCTAAATATCCAGCTTGTCTGCTTGTTGCAAGTGGAGGAGTAATGCATAAAATTTTCATTTGTCTGGCTCCACCACGTGAATGTGGGTTCCATCCATGTTGATTGTTGAATACTAGTCAAAGAATGACAAGTCAACTCAACGAAGAGGTAAGGTATGCGTGAGGATTCTGACATTGGACAAAATTTTGAACAATTCCGTAAGTTTTCATTTTCGACCTTTAAGAGCATCTCTTCAACCATTGTATATATATATATATATATTTTTTTTTGTGTAAATTTAACGTGTCAATATAAATTTATACAAAAATTTTAGATTATTTAATTTTAGTTCCAATTATACCTTTTATATAAAAATATATCTCCCAATAACAATCAACCATGTGTCATGTCAAGATCCCATATAATTTTTACAAACCAATTTAATATATAATTAATTTTTTAATAGAACGAGAAAAAGGGGTGAAAAATGAAATATGTTGATTTGACAGTGTAAAAATGTTATGTAAAATACACAACCATTTTACACATTGGTGATATGGTAATGTATCTTAACAGATTACTAAAGATGAAAAAAATTTACACATTATAGGTAGACCGCCGGAGATGCTCTGAGGATAGTATTTTTTGAGTGGAAACTTCTTTTTTGAGAAAAAAATGCACTAGTTATTGCTTGTTGCTCATGATTTTCGATTGAAAACGTTTGTTTAGTGGTCTAAAATTGCATTTTATTATCTTATACGAGGCTTGGAAATTCTTCAAGACCTTAACAAACTTGAATTGCTCTAAAATTTTATATTTAGTAATTTTTATTGATTAGGTTTCTTATTCTATTTTTTTCATAATTTTGAAAGAGAATTTATTTTTATACTTTATTTGTAGGATTAGTTTCCTTATATTTTTAGTTTCCTTTTAGTATTTAGTTTTGTTTCATTATAAATATATGCATTGGAGAGAGCAGAATCATTCAAATATTTTATCAATAAGATTTCAGAATTCTCTACGAATTTATCTCTTATTTTGTGGATTCAAAGTAAATCGTTAATAAATTTATTGCTTTCATTTACATGACGTCAAATGAATCGAATGAGAATTGGTTTTAAATTGGATTCAAACAATATCCAATTTACTGGTTATATTATATATGAACTTTAGTCATGATTTTTTTTTTTTTGTTATTATTATAAATAACTTCTGTTGTAGAATATTTGAAGGAAAATGATAGGGTTACCAAATGATTTTCTCGAATAAATCTCAAATCTGACGTGTTTTTGTCCATCCCATCTACTTAAACAATTTCTAAAAAATAATTGTTTAACACGTGATATAGCCAACCATGTCAAATTCGGTGCTAATTTAGGGATTCCTTTTCGGTTTTCCTATCATTACTCATATTCGAATTGTAAAATAAGTAGTATATAGATTTTTATTATTAAGGAATTCTTGTTTGGTTTGAATAGAAAAAAAATAATAATAATAAAAAACTAAAAATAAAAATAAAATCAGGTTAAGTCTGTTTGAGATTCAATTTAAGCCAAGTGCATTTCATAGTGTTAAGCTAGCTTGCCCCCATTTGCATCATGGAAGAAATTAAGATGTTATATGCAGCAGTTGTTTGGTGATATAATGTTTATCAACAAATCCAAAGAATTCCCTAGTAGTGAATTTTCCAAAAGTTTGGGGTTTTACTAGTAATGGGACTTCTACTGTAAATCCAGCATATAGGGTTGCTTTACTCCTGGCACTCAAAAAGTCTGGATAGAAGATACTACTGACCCAGGTTGGACTTCATGGTTCTCGTCTACTCCTTAGGGCTTGAAAAACTCAGAGTTGAAGGAGGGCAGGCGTACGTATGCTGGTTTTTGTGGAAGGTGAGGAATTCCCTAGTTTTTCGATTCATGCAGCATTGGGATGAATTCAAGAGGAATCTAAAAGGAGTTGTAACAATTTAGCAGAAATTAGCCCAGAGGCGTGGCAACCACTGCCCACACCTTATTTTTAAATCAAAATTTGATGCTTTCTTTATCTCTCAAACACGCTCTTCTTCCAGATTCAGAGGGTGCATTGAGAATTGTCAAAGCTGTCATCTGTTATCTGCTGAATTGTCAAAGAGAAGGGAACTACTAGAAAGGCAATCAAATGGAGTTTGGAGAAGGTTACACTGAGTTGATTGCTCACTGCTAATGGAAACTTCTCTATACCAAATTGTTGAATTAAAAATAGTGGGACTTGGATGCAAAGAAGAATAAATTTTATTGATACATAACAATTTACACACTTACTCATACTGACATATATGTTGGCTGTTCTTCTCACGCACTTGCTCTACACACCACAGGAGACCTTGGTTCTCCTCTTTATAAGCCACCAAGTCGGCCATGGAAGCTTTTAGATAGAGAGACCAGGAGAGAGAGAGAGAGAGAGAGAGAGATCTAGAGAGAAGATGAGAAAGAGAGAGATTTACAGGGTACAGAAATGTAGCATGCATGTTCTAGAGATAGTCAGTGTTTCCAGGGAAAGAGCCTTCTGATCATACCTTCTGTTGGTGCTTCTTGGCAGCTGAAATTAGGAAAGAAAACAGAGCAAGTTGTCTCATTTTCCCATTCTAACTTGTCCCACCACTCCCCCTGACCTCCAATTACACCGAGCGAGTCTTTGCCACTATTGCAGTCAAATGGAAGTTTTTTAAGCTTCGGACAATCAAACACTTGAACTTCTTTTAGAGAAGGGAACGGCAATGGAAGACTGCAGATGCTCTTTAACTCTGGTAGTTTATAAAGAGTCAATCTCCGTAACCTTGAGAATACGTTGAGACTTCCTTCCCTAAATTCATCACTGCGACCTACGTCTTTTATGACTTCTTCCATTGCCTTGCATTTATAAATTAGTAAAGTTTGAAGTGTTGGCAAGCAAAGTAGCCATGTTAGATCTCTCAAAGCCTTGCACTTCGTGATCCTGACTCCCCGTAGGTTTTGAAAGCTGCTTCCATCCATTATACTACTAATATCCCACAGATTGTGAGGTACTGGTGTATCTCTCTCCTTAGTCGCCCAATCAATTGACAACTCCTCCAAGCTACCACAATTTCCGATGTCAAGCCATTCCAGTCTATTGTTCTTCTGTAGAGATGACAGTTGTAGTGAAGTTGAGCTTCTGCATACCTCAATGTCAAGACCAAAAGTGCAACTTTGTAACTTTTGTGATCTCGAAAATTTTTGGAGTGCAAGCTCACTCTTCACTATTAAACTTGAAGCATACAGGTGGTTTAAGCACTCCGTTTCATCCAATAACCGTTCATTACCTCCAGAGAATATATTGCCTACATCATCTATTCCCTCTGAAACACCACTACGAAACAATTCCAACCTTTGCAACATCAGAAGACTTGATATAACTTGCGGTGGGATTATAACAAGACCATACATACCACGCAGAAACAAATGCTTCAACTTTACCAAAAGCTTAAATTCAATTGGCAGCTCCCTTATCCCTGTTTTTGAGAGATCAAGATGTTGCAAAGAAACCAATGTGAAAAAGCTTTCTGGTAAATGAGTTAAATTTTTGTTTGATGACAGGTCCAAAACTTTGAGAACAGGCATAAATTGGAAGAAACTGTCGGCAATAGTCCTCAAAGCATTAAACCTAAGATTTAAAGTCAAAAGATTTGGGCATCTTGGAGTTCCGCTTAATTCTTCAATAGAATTACGGATCAGTGATATTCTTTCAGCGTCCCCCCATTTAGAATTAGCAGGTGCTGCAGTGAGCTTAAGATCAACTTGCACCAAATATTTCTCTTTTTTACTCCCACTCTCTGAAACTATCCACAATGCCATGTCCCGGATCATATCATGCATTGCAACATAATTACCGCCTACATACTCGTCAGTTTCCAACAAACATGCAAGTTTCAACCTACCAATGATATCATGACCCAGGGTATAAGCCTCATCGATTCTATCACATTCATCGAAAAATCCTTCACCAATCCAGAAAACTATGAGATTGGAAATATTACTATACCAACCTTCTGGGAAAAGTGAACAATATAGGAAACAAGTCCTAGTTATATCATCAGGTAAACTATCATAACTGAACTTTAGAAGAGGAAATACCTTGTCTCCCATACCTGAAAATTCAGAAGTAGATTTCCTCAACAAGCCTATTGCATAATTCCATTCCTGATGAGTTCTCTTGCTAGCCATGGCTCGTCCAACTGTAATCAGAGCTAGTGGCAAACCAGCGCATTCTTTACAAACAAAATGGGATAGCTCTAGTATTGCAGGATTTGAATTGAGGGTCTCTTCACCCACCTTATCTTTAAACAAATCCCAGGCTTCCTGCCACGCCAAACATTCCACTTTAATCTTCTTCTGAGCTCCCATAAGGCCACATACATCCGCAGATCGTGTCGTGAATACTACCTTGGCCTTATTTTGATTGTTTGGAAGTGGGACTCCCACTTCAAGAAGATCAAGTCGCTCCCATATGTCATCCAACAACAACACAAATTTCTTCCTTTTCAAAACCCTAAATATGCCTTCCCTTTTCTGATCTTGGCTTTTTTTGCTCCATGTCTCATCTGGAAATCCTAACTTCTCTCCAATTTTGTCTTGAGCCCTTTCCACAATTAGATCTTTCGACACCACAACCCATATCACCTCAGCAAACTCTCCACTGAACTGAGTTGCAAGTTCATTGTTGAGTTTCTTCAAGAGGGTTGTCTTTCCAACACCCCCCATTCCGTATATTCCAACAATTCCCACTCCATCATCATCTCTAATGAAACTCAGGACCTTGTTAACCTTTGAATCCAAGCCCACCGTAGTCTCAAGAGGCATTTCTTCAGCATGAGATGGGGTCAATGTTACAGCAACAGTGCTGAAATTTCCTTCACTTTTCAGATCAGCCACAGCTTGTAGCTTCTTAGATACTTTCTTCCCGAGTTTATGGCTAGACCTGCAATTTCTGGGACAAATTTTGAGACATTTTCTCTGGATCTCAGCATCACCCTTTTGGAGAACCACCTCCACCTCTCTCTCCAGTTGTTCTGCTCTTCGAAGCCAGCCCTTGACTTGTTCGGTGCGTTGCATTTCTTGCCTCTCAGCAATTTCAACTCTTCTCCTCAAATCGTTTCTTTGCTCTATCAATTTTTCCAATTCGTTTCTCAAAGATTTGAGATTATCTTGGAGATGACGAATATAGTTGCTACTGTTACCGATGCAACCACATAATCGGCATGTAATATCCAAGATTGGGCTAACAAAGTCCATTGCTAGCTCTGAAGACCCCAAGCTCGATCGATTACAAGACTTCAGGAAGAGGGGAGGAGGGCGTCGACTTAGGAAGAAACGAAAAGAGGAGCTACTTTTGTCGTTGAGTGGATATATTTTTATGCCTGAGTTTATTATTGCATTTAACTTTCCGTGGAGCTTAAAAATCTAATTTTGAATCAAATTTTGTGCTTGTGATTTTCTTTCTTGTACAGAGTAGAAAATCTTCTAAAGAGTAGAATTTATTATTTTTTAATGTATATAATTCTCAATTTTACCATGGATAAGAAGAGATACAAATGAATGTTGTGTGTTTTTTGGATATTTGTTTGCAATATTCTAATTACGAAAACACGAATAAACCTAACACAAATTCGATTAACTTTGTCCTGAAATTATTGGGGGTGTAACGGTGTTTAAGAAATTTAACTCTTTATAGGAATGGATTTTTAGTACATTTTTATTGTATTGATAATGGAGAATTTTTAAATATGTCTTTTTAAAAAAATAAAAAAGGTACTTCTTAATTAGTACAATTGTTTATTCAAATCATGTGGTTTGAAAATGTTACAAAAATTATATTCATTTTTGAATGGGAATGTATGATTCGGGATATCCCAAAATAAAACTTTGAGACCGAGAGAGTAGTCTAATAATTAGTTGTCTTATAAGCAAATTTCAGGACTCAACTCGTTAATTACGTAGTTAACCGTATCACAATCGTAACTAACTTGAATTGCCCAGTGACAGTTCCAACCTGAATAATCCTGTTAGGCATGAAAAACTTGGCAAAAGACAATTTAATATCTGACATGGCCTAACAAAATGAAACAAAACAGTGTGTTTACAATATGTTTTTGTTGTTGTTTTTTGTTAAGCACAGTTTATTTGTTCATTAAAAGAAATGTTACAAGAGATTTACCATAAACCCCGACAATTACTCAAGCAAATAGATTATGAGAGAAGAGTATGAGAGAAATAAACATCATTACATCAATACCAAACAGTTGAAGAAAATAATAATAATTCTTAGTGTGCTGCACAAAAAGAGAGCAAATGAAGGAGCTCTCTCTACTTCCATACTGAATCGCCAAACATTTTCAATATCCTATTCATAAAACGTAACCCACCAATCTCGGCATTTGACACGAGGAAAGAACACTGAGAGAGAGTTGCTTCGTTATCCCATTCCAGCTTATCCCACCACTCTCTCTCACCTTCAATTACTTTTAGCCTGTATTTGCCGCTAGTCGAGTCAAACGGAAGTTTGTTAAGCTTCGGACAACCATACACTTCAATTTCAATCAGAGAGGGGAAGGCCAATGGATGACTATAAATGCTCTTTAACTCTGGTAGTTCATGGATGTACAACCTTTGCAGACTTGAGAATGTGCTTAACACTTGCTTCCCTAATTGCATCACTCCAATCCACATCTCTTATGACTTCTTCCATTGCATTACAATAATATAATCGTAATGTTTCAAGTTTTGGCACGCTAATTAACCATGTTAGATCCTTCAGAACCTTGCAATTCGCAATCGTGACTGCCTGGAGGTTTTGAAAGCTGTTTCCTTCTATTATACTCTTCATTTCCAGCAGATTATGAGGTATCGGTCTCTCTCTTTCTTCCTTCATCCAATCCGTTGACACCTCCTCCAAATCATCACAATTTGCTATTTGAAGCAATTCTAGTCTCTTGCTGTTCTGCAGATAAGATAGTTGCAGTGAACTTGAGCCATCATTGCATAGCTCGATGTCTAGACCAAATGTGCGACTTCTCAAGTGGTGAGAACTTGAAATTTTTTGGAGTGCAAGCTCATTTGTAACCGTTAAAATTAAACGTTGCAAGTTGTTCAAGCACTCCAATTCATCCAATAACTGTTCAGTACCACCAAAGAAAATGCTCCCCTCATCTATTCCCTGCGAAACTCCACTGCCGAACAATTCCAACCTTTGAAGCATCAAGAGACTAGATATGACTTGTGGTGGGATTGTATCGAGTTTAGGCATATCATTCAGAAGTAAATACTTCAAGTTTACCAACAGCTTAAAATCATTTGGCAACTCCCTTGTACCTGTACTTGATAGATCAAGATAATGCAAAGAGACCAACATGAAAAAGCTCAATGGTAACTCAGTTAAATTTCCATTGTATGATAGGTCTAAAACTCTGAGAGAAGGCATAAATTGGAAGAAGCTATCAGAATGGTCCCCAAAGCATTAATACTAAGATTTAAAGTCGGGAGATTGGGGCATTTTGAAATTCCAGTCAATTCTTTAATAGAATTATTCATCAATGATATTCTTTCCGCCGCTTCCCATTTAGAAGGAGCAGGAGCTACGGTTAGCTTGAGATCAACTAGCACCAAATATTTCTCCTTCTTCCTCCCACTATCTGAAACTATCCACAATGCCATGTTCCGGATTGTGACACGTTCATATTCATCCTTTTCATCACCGGACTCCAACAAACATGCTACCTTCAATCTGCTAACAATATCTTCTCCCAGGCTATAAGCCTCATCGATGCCATCACATTTATCAAGAAACCCCTCGCCTATCCAGAAATTTATCAGATATGGAACTTTAATAGACCAAACTTCTGGGAACACAGCACAATATAGGAAGCAAATCCTAGTTGTTTCATCAGACAAGCTATCATAACTGAACTTTAAAATATAAAACACCTTGTCTTCCATACCTGGAAATTTGGAAGTGGATTTCTTCAACACACTTATTGAATAATTCCATTGTTGGGGAGTTCTCTTGCTAGCCGTGGCTAGTCCAACTGACACAAGTGCGAGTGGCAAACCAGCACATTCTTTGCAAACGACTTGCGCTAGCTCCCGTATTTCAGGATCAGAATTGAGGGTCTCTTCTCCCACCTTATCTTTAAACAAATCCCAAGCTTCCTGCCATGCCAAACATTCCACTTTAATCTTCTTCTGAGCTCCCATAAGGCCACACACATCCGCAGAACGAGTTGTGAACACTACCTTGGCCTTATTTTGATTGTCTGGAAGTGGAACTCCCACTTCAAGAAGATCAATTCGCTCCCATATGTTATCCAATAATAGCACAAATTTTTTCCCTTTCAAGACCCTAAATATGTCCGCAGTCTTGTCCTCTTGGCTTTTGTCCCTCCATATGTCTTCCGGAAATCCTAGCTTCTTCCCAATTTTATTTTGAACCCTTTCAACATTTATATTTTTGGAAACCTCGGCCCGTATCACCTCATCAAATTCCCCACTCAACTTATTTGCAAGCTCATTGTGAACATTTGACACCAAGCCTACAGTCCTATCAAGAGGACCTTCTTCGGCATGTGCCGGGGCCAATATTACAGCCACAGTACTGAAATTACCTTCACTCTTCCTATCAGACACAGTTTGTAACTGTTGACATACTTTCTTCCCAAGTCTGTGGCTTGACACACAATTTCGGGGACAAAATTTGAGACACCTCATCTGGATCTCTTCAGCACCCTGTGGAGAACCACTTCCACTTCCCTCTCCAGTTCTTCTACTCTTTGAAGCCAGCCATCGACTTCTTCAGTTCGCTGCATTTGTTGCCTCTCAGCGCTTTCAACACTTCTCTTCACATCATTTCTCTGCTCTATCAATTTTTCCTTCTCAGTTCTCAAAGAGTTGAGATTATCTTCAAGATGACGAATATAGTTGGTGCTGTTTCTGATGCAATCATATAACCTGCTTGCAACATCCAAAATTGGACTCAAAATGTCCATTGCTCTGGAGAGCTTAAGCTCAATTACAAGACTTCAGGAAAAGGGTTTACACTTGGGAAGAAAAGAAAGAGAAGCAAAATATAATTTGCATATGGGCTGCTTGCTAATAATTTAATAATTTTATTGGTCATGTAAAAAACCACCCCAAGGCAAAGAGCATATGGGAGTATAAGAATTGACAGGATACCAAGTGCATGAACTCAAAAAGTGATAAGGTTGTTGAAATTATGCCTTAAATTTATTCTGTAGTTATATCTCTACTTTACAGTTGTTTTATAGGAAAATCAGTTATTTCTTTGTTTTACCTTGGCCAAGAGTCTATTTCATGAGAAATGTGATGTTGTGAGCGAGATGTATTTATCCCTCTGAAATCATAAGTGAGTGAATTTTCCTTTCATCTGCAGACTGGGAAAGATTTTAGTGTATAACAAGAATTTTTTTTTTTTTTTTTAAGAAGCATTTAACCTAGCTCTGCTATAAAAACAGAGGTGCAAATTTTTTCCCCTATTATTCACAGCCCCCCTAGCAGCTGCAACTTAATAAAACTATGTTTGGAGATACCGAATCGACCTCCTGAAATTGAAATTCCTAGTGTAGAACTCTCAAATCGTTTGTAAGGCAGTGACTGGAAAGGTTAAGAGGTCCAATAGAGCTTCACAATAGTATTCATTCTTGTACTCCTCCTTTAGAAGGGAGGATAGAGGCTTAGAGACATTGTATTCTATTACCAAAGTTGATTTAATAACAGTAGTTCTTTGGATTTCCAGGAACATAAATATAAAATGCTTTTCACTATATGGTAAAAGGACAATCCAATCCACGTTTGCCTACCTTATCCTTCTACCTAGCAAGTGGAGGAGGAACGTAGAAAAAGATACCTAACTCCATTATTTTCTATAGTAATTATTAAATAAAGTGGGTGAAAGGATAAGGTAGGTGATTGTGATATTTATTTTAAAATTGCATCCAAACAAAACTCAATTTATTGGCTCTTAATTTTATTTTAAATTCAATTTTCAAAGAGGATTGTATATGAAAAGAAATTCACAAAATCCTGGTTTCGTCTCTGTTTTTTTATATAAATAGACATGAAATGGACTGGGTTGAACTTAGAAACCTAAATCAAACCAACTTCATTTTACATTATTAAAAAATTGCTCCTTTATGTCCTAGTAAGGAAATGTATAAAGAGAGTAAGGTTTTCTTTCTGATGCCATTGTCTTGAGTACCCCATTGGCCATAGAGAGAGGATTTTAAAAAAAAAAAAAAAAAAAAGGCATGAATAGTGCTCAGCAGTGAGTGAACAAAAGAATTTAACTCTTTTCAGTGAGTCTTTCTTTTCTTGGTTTGATTTAACTGTTATGGTACTAAAGTAATTAACATCAGGGGATTTTAATGTTTTGACTACATGTACTTTCTTTAAAGTATCCAAGCATCATTGGCAAAATTCTAGAAAGCACATAGCAGTTAAAGCATTAAAATTATACTCCATTCGTCCCATATTAGATGCACATCCTTGATATTATAAATTTTTAAGGGGACATGCAATTAATATATTGTCTACGTTCAAAATTACAGAGTTGTCATTTTATGTTTAATTATGTATACTGTGAAAATTTTGAAAACTTAAAAAGGTAATTATGAAAAGAGAGAGATGACTTTTCAAATGGGACAAATAATTTGGGACATCCATAAAAGGATAAATGGACAACTAATATGGGTAGAGTAATTAGCTTCTGAAATTTCTTCTCTCTTTTTTTCCTTTTTCCTTTTTTTTATTCACAGTGAAATTTCTTCTTTCGACCAATCCTTGCTAGGTTTAACCACATCTTTACATTCTATGGGCTTGATTGGATGCTTCCATACAATCTCTATAGCAGTCCACACCTTTTCATCAATAGATTTAAAAAAAAGCTCTCATCCTAACTTTCTAGTTACCTTAATTTTTGCCATCATACAAAACTGACCTACATGTGAATCACACTCTTTTAGGCTATATATCAATTATTTGCCAACTACAATAGAGCAGAAAACTCTCATATAACTAATGGACCATAATCCTAACCTCTTAAGTAGGAGAAATTATTACATGATATCGGAACCAATGATCCTGGGCCAATCGCGATTGGACACCTCATAATTTCTGCTTTTATAGAGTTATCTAAGGTCAGAGACCTAATAATTTCTCATTATGTAGAGTTCTCTTAATGACAAATCAAAAATTAAGCAAACTAACAAGCATATAAATCAATCCATGTATCATGTTTGTAAAGCATATAAAAATGTGGAAAGTAAAACAATCACATAATGAACACATGATATTTTTCATAGAAATCTCAACATGGTATCAAATCCACTCACGAGAAAGAGAATTTTCCAACTAGGTTACAACTTTTTTTTTTCAAATCATAGGAAACCCCAAGTTAGCTCTTGACACAGACTGACATCAAACTCACATATCGAGCTTTCAAACCATCTATTTTGTCAATAGATCTTTTTCTCACACGATTTGCTTCTCCCCAAGCATTTTGATCTCATCCTCTAATTGTCTAGTAAACGAATTGTAATGCCTGAGAGTTGAATAGGATGGCCCTTGTCATGTGTAAGGATTATATTACCCCCAACTTTTATGAACAACAAGATGCTCATCAAATTCATTTCCCCACCGTTGTACCATAAACCAATCATCATCCCGTAAAGAACTGCCTGAACAAGTTCCATTTATGACAAAATTGAAAGAACGGGAGTTTTGACATCAGACTAGTAATCTTTCAGCTGAATAAAACATGAGTAAATCAAATATCCAACCTACAACATTACAATTTAATGTGTAAGACAACAATAAAACCATGTCTAGCTTTCCATGTCTTCAGATTGTATATTGTGTAGTCAGAACCCAGGATTTACCCAAAATGATTAGAATATTCGCTCAACAGCTATGGAATATAAGCAATATAGTCGATAGGGTTCTATAACAGGGTTTACAAGCAACCGAACTCAGTAAGTTCTTTTTTTTTCTTCTTTTTCTTTTTCTTTTTTTCTTTAATTTCCCCGAGAAAAATAAAACAGGACAGCTGCCAGAGGTGACACTATGACAGAAAATAGAGTTCTCTGTGCATTAATATTGCGCACCTTTAATCATCTGAGGCCTTTGGAGAATTTTCCGGTGTCTTCAGAACAGCAGCTGTTTTACCTTTATTTTCTGCAACTGCCGCAAAAAATTCTTCAACAATTGAAGCATCCTTAAACTTCAAGGCAAATGTAGAAAGACCATCCTTGCCTTCACCTGTACTATTCATACAAGCAAAAGTGACTCCTCGCTTCTCCATGTTTGTCAGCTTCATGTCCGTGTAGAGACTCGCATTCAGAATAAGCCTATAATTTCCTCTAGCTCTCATAACAAGTCTGGCTTTTCCCGTCCCAGTTGTGGACACATTCACCTTAAGTTCTCCCTTTCCACGCTCCTTCCACCCACCATCAAGATACTCAAACAGTGCAGAATCAGATGTGAAAACAGCCTTCTCATATTCCTCCCCCGTCTCAACAGGTACCTCCTGCAAAGATGGAAATCTGCTTCCCTCACTCCTAGTACCAATAGCTACCCCAGGCATGCCAAAAAGGGAAGAACTTCCGTTATTAGATAGACCAGAGCCAAAAAAAGGACAAGAAGACTGGTCATCATTCAGTCCAACAAGAGAACCAGAACCTAATGGCGATCCATCTCTTGGAATTGACCCAGACGAGAATGTAGAATTGGAAATTCCAGTTCCAGCAAGTCCTGTAAAGGCATTTCGGCTGCTTGAAAGCTGCTGAAATGAGTTCAAGGAAGCAGTTTCTGCAACCTTTACTATATTCCCATTACAATCATCATTTTTGTCTTCAGTTTTAACACCCTCAGCAATGTCACAGTTTCCATTCTGAGTTTTATCACCTTCTGTTGCCTTCACATCTGCTAAATAAGGTTTGGTTGTCTCATCCACTGCTTCAGTTTTCTCCTCATATTGAGTAGATTTAGCTCCTGCCTCATCGACCTTGTTTTCTGATGATTTATCGTTTTCATCTTTTTCCTTCCCAGGTTCCTCATTCACATCATATTTCCCATCCACATCTCCTGCAACTGTTTTCTCACTTTTTGCTTCAGTAGTAAGTACAGATGTAGCACTGGAAATGGGAGGAGGGACCAAGCGAATCCCTGCAAAGGGATTAGAAGAAGGGACCGATGGGGCTGCTGATGTTTGATGTCGACAAACTTTGACAAATTTTCTATTTGCAAGTACCTCATCATTTGCTCTCTTAAAGCTTCCAGTCTCTTGTTCAGAGGCCTCTTCCTCATCATCAAGACCAGGGTTTTCTCGAGATAGTTGCCTTCCAGCAGCTCTCTTCTTTGAGGGTGGAAAGGCATCTTCTGCATCCCCCATTTGAAAATAAGTAAACAAACTGAAATCCAAGACACTTTCCCCAAATAACAGGGATAAGGTGATTTCTGCAGGAGGAAATCACAAAATCAATAACCTGTTGTGACCACAAGTTAAAGTTATCAAATAGACAACTTCACAACAAGCAAGTTCTCATCCCTATGGAGAAAAAATAAAATGAAAACAAATTGCACAGGTGTGAGAAGTAATAATAAAGTTATAGCATGTAACAACAACAATCAAATGAAACAGCTATGATATTCAATGAAGTTGGACCGACTTTACATTCAAGGATGCATGAGAAAGAGGCTGCAAATTTTTTCATGCACACCAACCTACATCCGGGTATAACTCCTTATATGGAAAATTGATACTTTTCTTTCCAGGAGAACCTAAGATTACAAGAAAGGATTATCCTCTAGATATTTGGCTCTTAACCTCTAAAGCTCTAACAACCTACCATTCCAGCAACTCCTCGACTGACATTAGCATGGTCCAACAAACAACAGGTCAGCCAAGATAGAAGAAAGGACACCGAAGAGACATTTACTAACTGACTCCTTGGTGACATGCATTGCATAAAATTTTGGAATTGTCCAATTCCAGACAAGTTTTCCGCTGTTAATTAAACCATCTACAAAATAAAATAGCTGAACAGGTGAAAAAAAAAAAAAACCTGACTCCACCAGTAAGGTGAAGCAATTTCATAATAAATAAATAAAAACTTTCGCTGGGATAAATCTCTACAACTCTGTCATTATCAAGCAGGTATAGGTAAAATCATCTCTGATAAACTGTCTGAGATGTAGATAATCAACCTCTGTGTATCTTCCCCCCAAGGATCCCAACTACATCTTGTTAGAGGATTTATTTTAATATTAAGGGTAGTCTTTTCTTTTCTTCTTTTTAGTTAGGGTAGTCTTGTCTTTCCCATCTTTGTCGTTAGGGCATACTCTTTGTGTGTGTATATATATGAATTGTAATTCAGGAAATACTTGTGATTCAATAATATAGTATCAGTTTCTTCAATTTTCACATCACATATGAAAAGCAAAAAGAACTGCTCAGTTAATCAAAATTAGTTCTCCAATAACTCCTGTAGCTAAAACTAGAATGGCATAAATGAATCTAGTTAAGTGACTTTGTACCTCATTTTACCCCCAAGAAACGGGCAACAAGGTAAGGTAACCCAATCTGCAATTCTATCCATGATAGAAGGGTTGTTTTGAAAAGGAGAGTTCAAAGTAGAAGAATGATATAAGCTTGTAAAGAACAGCGGATAACTAATGAGGCAGTGTGGTTACTGCCAACTAAGCTTGAATTTTCATTTTGCATTGCCCACATCAAAATATTTCACCTTCAACAGGAAACTAAAACTCTTTTTCAAAAAATACGAGTTTCCTTAACATTAATTGAATTTTCATCACAAATCAGATGGCTGCCTCAATTGACAGTCAATCCCTGCACATAACTTTCTTCTCAATTCACACCTATATTTCAAATCCCAACCAAAGAAATGGCATGCTAAAACTAAAAACCCATCTTTTTTAAATCAAATATGCATACCAATCACATGAATGACCCATACTCATCAGATGCCAAGGAGGCTCATATCAGATTCTATATGTCCGTTATAAATAGGTTGATCAAAACTAGGAGGGTAAGGGGGTAAATAACTTATAAAACTTATATTGAAATCATATTGTGTTTCCAAAAATGACGTAATTGCTTCAGTTAAGCCAAATAGCTGGGCAATTCACAAATTACTTGAATTATGTTTTAGTTCCAAATCTTGGATTCAAATTTTTTACCTTTTTTCCAGCTTTAACAGCAACCAAACAGTGCATTAACTAAAAGCACTTCCTATTTTGATAGCAAAAGCTTCCTCAAGTCTAATCACTTTGAATGATTTACGCTATACTTCAAGGAAGCATCACAAAGAGTGCAACAAGAATTTATTTAACAAATAGGCAAATATTGAGTATTGATATGCTTAGCGAAATAATGGTCTAGATTAAGTCCAATCATAACATTTCAAAATAATTTTGACAGCATGTATTGATAGTGTCTATTTAAGGATTGACAATACAATTAAGTGACACAATACCGATACACCCAAATAAAATCTAAAAGAACAATAACAAGTCACTGTGATGTAATTTCAATACCAGCTTAGTACATAACAATTCATATGGATTTCAGTTTCAGGTGCTCTCACATGTCACAGTATTCAAACCGTCAAACTATATACAGAATAAATATTACATATGTATGTATATATATATATATATGCGCACATATGGTGTTCCGAATAGAGAATAGTTCGTACCGGAAAGATGTTGGGGATTGAAATGTGGTTCTTTTCTTCCTGTTGTTGGTCGGTGTTAAGACTCTTCTATCGATTAAAACCTAAACTAACAGAAGGAGATGAATGAAGCCCAATCTTAGCCTCTCTTTTTTTGTTTCTTACTGAGAAAATGCTTTTAATCGATTGGACAATTATGTCCTTGTGGGAGTAAAGGGTAACCCAGAAAAAAAAGTTATATAGAAGGTGTTTTGGTTTAACATTCTGAAACTCTAAAAAGTTTTGAAAATAAATTATAAAAAAGTGCTTTAAAAACGAATTATTTTTTAACTTAATTTTTCAAAATTCTCAACCAAACATCATATGGTACAATGTTTTAATTTTTAGTTCTCTAAAAATAAAAAAATATTTTTAAAAAATTGAATCAAACAAACTTTTAAAGAGAAAAAAATTGAAAATTTGATTAATTTCACTGACATCCAATTTGGCCAAATATCACCTTCAAATATCTTTCGAAAATAAGTATTACTCATATTAAAAACTTTTACTCCGTTTTTAAGTCACATCCCAACAGTTACTTGCACAATTCTAACAATGTAAAATGATTTAAATATTCTTTGACTTTGTCAAAACAAACTCTTTAACTTAAATAATTAGATAAAAAGATTAAAATATTTCTAAATATTTTATAAATTTACAAATCATATTATATATGTTTATTGTTTCTTATGTTATATATATATACATATAGATATATTATATATGTTATCTTTTCGCCGGATCCATATATTGGCAGTTGCGGGTGGTGATGATAGGTGGGTTTAATAATGAGGGTATTATGGTCATTGAAGTAACTTGGTATTTAGGAATATATAAGATTAAAAAATTAGAGACAAAGTTGTCTTTTTTATGTTTTTAACGGAGACTGTAACTGAAAAGTAAAAATGAACCTAACTGACAATCGGACAAATGAAAAATGTTGAGTGAACAAAAAAAAATTTGGGTAGAGCCGAATTTAAATGTTGGCTAGGTAAGAGCGAACTTATAGAGGATCCCCATGGGAGTGGTTGGGCTTATCTTGCACTTGGAAGAAGTAGGAAAAGAAATAAATATAGTGAAAATTTGATTTTTCGTCGCCGCAGTAAATAAGAATTTTGAAAGATATTTGAGGATGATATTTGGCCAAACATGCGAGAGTGTCAATGAAATTAATCTTTGGAAAATTATTTTGACGTGGAAACAAGAAAGCATCTTTTTACTAATGTATACATTTGTATAAAAAGATGAAAAAAAAAGACATTGTGCATTATACTTTTATACCCTTTTTGTTCTTTTGTCTTTTATAAAATAAAAATAAAAAATTAGTGTACATTATATTATTTATTTTGTCACTCTAATTTTTTGTTATTATAGTTAAAATTTCAAAGCCATTTTTCAATTGATTTTGCACCCATATTACCTAAATTTTATCCTTTATTATATTTAATTTTTAAAAATATTTGCACTCAGGTTCCATAAAATGGTGAAAACAAAAAATTAAATATATTCTACTTACAAAAAGTGTAAGGATTTTTATTAAAATAAAATTAATGGTAATGTAAGACAACTCTAATATCAAACCTAGCTCCATCTTTGGCTCTCCTTCATCATTACGAAATATGAGCAAATCATCATTTGTATAACGAGAGGGAATTGATACTAATTATCAATGAAATCCGTTTAACAAAGTGGAACCAAATGTACCTTCCCCCAAAAAAAAATAATAATAAAATAAAATTGGAACCAAATGAAGTAACGAAGAGTGTGCAATGGTTATTAATTAAATTATCTGATGTCTCTAACTAATGTATCATCTTTTACAAAATAAATTATGTCATTTTAACTTTTTCATTTTCACGCAGGATTGATCGATTTTTATAGCTATATCTCAATCAATTATAATTTTTTTTTTTAAGTTGGTACTCACACGTATACCTTCATCGAGGCTCGAACTCCTAATCACCCTTTGAGAAATAGACGCCTAGTATTTGGTTCATCTCAATTAATTTATATCACCTTTTCTATTTAAACGCAATTGGGCCATTTATTCTATTTTTTCTAATTTAACCAAAAAAAAAAATTCAAAATACCTAGGGGAAAAAAACTAGAGGAAATAGTATAATACTTATCATATAAACTTACTGCATCTTTCTTATATATATATATATATATATATATAAGAATATATATATATATAATACAAAGCGGTGGACTTTAGCCAAAAGCATGTAACAAAAACATGAATACTAGAAACTGAAAATTTTACTAAAGAAAGAAAGAAATAAGACTAGCACTGAATTATTTAAAGTAAAGAGGTTGGAAGATAATAATATTGAATTGTGTTCTGGTCACATAGGATCAAACGTAAAGCTGCACTTTCTTGGCAGAGTTTTAGGCTTCAAGAGACTTTATGCTTGTTGGAGCTGCTGAGCATAACGAATCAAAGCCGAAGACGGATCGAGGGGCGGCTCCTCCGTTGTGGGTAAACGGGAAACCCGACTCTACAAACCCGAATAAAGGCTACACAGCAGTAGTATGGGGCATTAAGACCGGAGCTTTTTGGAGCTTACTGTCACGCCCCGCCTATGGAGGTTGTGCCACGCAGGCGACACGCAGACGCTGAGGAGGACGCTGCATGGCAACTGCATGGCAAGTGGAGTTTCTAGAGTCTTCCGGAATAGTCTAGAGTTATGTGGAAGATTCTAGATATGTGTAGAAATGTGTAGAAATGTGTAGAAGTGTGTGGAAGGTTCTAGAGTTCTCCAGAGTTGTGTGGAGTAGTATGGAGAATTCTAGAATGTTGTAGATACTAGTAGATAAGTATGGAAGTGTGAAGAAGGTGGGAGAAGATTCTAGATAATCAATCTCCACCGTTGGTTAGAATGCATCCTAGCCGTCCATTAAGGATGGGGATGCCTATAAATAGAGGTAGGACTTCATTTTGTAGACAACAAGTCCTAGAGTGAGTCTTGAGAGCCTTGTAGAGAACTTGAGTGCTAGCCTTGTACAAAGCATTCTTTGAAGTAATAGAAGTGTTCTTTCCTTGCCAACTTAAGTGTCTTAGTGTGTGTGAGTGTGCAAGCCAAGTGAGGAGAGGGCGAGTGCAACTACAACACTAGTAAGCGCACGAGGGGAGTGTGTTGGCTAAGGTGTGCACGGGAATTAGGCTGACCAAGTACTTGCGAGAGTGGAAGCAACATCTTGGTGCCGCACGGGAGCAGCTAGAGTGGTGCTGAAACTCTAAGCCCGTGACAGTTGGTATCAGAGCCAGGTTCGTCAAGGGAGCTTTGTTGGAGTAGACATGGCTAGCGGAGGAGACCACCAAGTCCACGTCTTGGAGCAGAGCTTGGAGGAGAAGCTTGCCACACACTTGGTCTACACGGAGACCAAATTTAACAGGCTCGAGAGAAAGATGGCGGAACTCTACGAGCTGATTGACGGCATTGCCAACAAGGCGCGAGAGAAGGAAAGGGACTTGTATGATCAGGTAGACGACTTGCGCATGGAGATTGCCGAGTGCAAGAAGGAGCTCTCCCAGGCGCGTGAGGTCGTGGTGAAGCCAAGGAAGAAGAAGGCGCCGGAGCCCAAGGAGTACGATGGGGCAAGGAATGCGCGCCAGATTGACAACTTCTTCTGGCACATGGAGCGGTACTTCGAGTGCATGGAGATCGAGGATGATGAGGAGAAGGTGCAGACAGGCACTATGTACCTCACGGACACTGCTGCTCTATGGTGGAGACAGCGCTTCACTGGTAGGGGTGCAAGAGCAGTTGATACATGGGAGGAGTTCAAGAGGCAGCTCAAGAGGCAGTTCTACCCTGAGTGCGTTGAGGACCTCGCCATGATCAACCTAAGGCGCCTGAAGCAGAAGGGCAGCATAAGGGAGTATGTGAAGGAGTACTCCAACTTGATGCTGGAGATCCCAGAGATGCCGGAGCGGCAACGTGTGTGCTTGTTCATTGATGGGCTGCAGTCTTGGGTGGCCACGGAGCTAAGGAGGAGGGAGCCTAGAGACTTGGCATCCGCAATGGCTATAGCGGAGCGCCTTGAAGACTTTAGGTGCGATGACAAGAGGGCCACGTCTCCCAGGAGGGACCACGGCAAAGGTGGGGGAGACCGGCGCTTCAAGAAACGGGGCTCGCCCAAGTCTAGTGATGATGAGCACAGCGATGAGGAGAGACGCCCACGCCATGATAAAGGCAAGGACCATGGAAAGAGGTCTAAGGCTAGTGGCAAAGGGGAGCGCCGCGATAAGGGCAAGTGGGAGCCGAAGTGCTACTTGTGCGAAGGGCCGCACATATTGCGACACTGCCCCAACAAGAAGACTATGACCGCCCTTGTGAAGGATAAGGGCAAGGGCAGGGTGGACGATGCGGGCAGCGATGAAGATAGGTGCATGGGGGCTATGCAGATGCTGAGTAGCATGGCGCATGACACCAAGAAGAAGGGCAAGGCAAAGAAGGTAGCTGGGGTGCGCTATGTGGATGCGGAGGTTGGTGGCAAAGCCGTGCAAGCCTTGGTAGACACGGGTGCTACACACAACTTCATTACCCCGGAGGAGGCGCAACGACTTGGCTTGGAGATGCGCAAGACGGAGGGCTGGATCAAGGCCGTCAACTCCGAGGAGGCACGCGTGAGTAGAGTGTGCAAGGAGGTGGAGCTATGCATGCAAGGATGGAAGGGCAAGGCTGACTTCCAAGTTGCGGAGATGGACGACCACGACATGGTGCTGGGGCTGGAGTTCATGGACAGGAACAACGCCGCGCCACTACCATGCCTTGGTGCGTTGATGATACTTGGAGGCGAGGAAGGCAAGGCCGCATGTATGGTGCCGCTCGTGGGCAGGAAGGAGAGTCCAGAGGTGGCAGTCAACACGATGGAGCTCGTGAGGACTTCACATCTCCCGAAGGGCGCTCGTACGTTTGGGCCAAGGACATATGCGCAAGTGCTGATGACCTGCGAGAGGCTGGGTCAGCTGAAGAAACCGTGACGAGGGCGTCACGGAAATGGGTGGGGGAGAATGTCACGCCCCGCCTATGGAGGTTGTGCCACGCAGGCGACACGCAGACGCTGAGGAGGACGCTGCATGGCAAATGGAGTTTCTAGAGTCTTCCGGAATAGTCTAGAGTTATGTGGAAGATTCTAGATATGTGTAGAAATGTGTAGAAATGTGTAGAAGTGTGTGGAAGGTTCTAGAGTTCTCCAAAGTTGTGTGGAGTAGTATGGAGAATTCTAGAATGTTGTAGATACTAGTAGATAAGTATGGAAGTGTGAAGAAGGTGGGAGAAGATTCTAGATAATCAATCTCCACCGTTGGTTAGAATGCATCCTAGCCGTCCATTAGGGATGGGATGCCTATAAATAAAGGTAGGACTTCATTTTGTAGACAACAAGTCCTAGAGTGAGTCTTGAGAGCCTTGTAGAGAGCTTGAGTGCTAGCCTTGTACAAAGCATTCTTTGAAGTAATAGAAGTGTTCTTTCCTTGCCAACTTAAGTGTCTTAGTGTGTGTGAGTGTGCAAGCCAAGTGAGGAGAGGGCGAGTGCAACTACAACACTAGTAAGCGCACGAGGGGAGTGTGTTGGCTAAGGTGTGCACGGGAATTAGGCTGACCAAGTACTTGCGAGAGTGGAAGCAACATCTTGGTGCCGCACGGGAGCAACTAGAGTGGTGCTGAAACTCTAAGCCCGTGACATTACGCCCCTTCACGAGTCTATTCCACCATTTACAAAGAGCCTTCAGGTGCAGTTTTCAGAGACAAAGCATTCGGTGAGGAAGTAAAAATCACACGTCCTTCCTATATTGGAACAATGAGACAAATAAAAATTATATAGAATTTGGACATTAACTTTCTTTTATGTTTGTTTAAACTTATACTCAGGGTTTTGAATTGATTAAAGCTGAGTTTTCTATGTTTTTTTTTTACATATTTAATATTTTGTGCATATCTCCATTATAATGTAATTGCGTTACAAAGTATTACTGGACCATTATTAGCCCAAGTGTATAACCTCTCTTCCTAGAAAAGAAGAACTAAGGTTTACATGGGTGAGAAATTGTTGTAATTTACAAATACCCACTTCGAAATCACACGCAATAACTTGATATGTCCTTTTTAAAAATTAAAAATAGCCAATCTCTCCCAAAGCAATAACTCAAAAAATGGAAACAAACCCAAAAATGGGAGCATTTGAAACCATAATTATCTCTCATTAATTGATATAAATGATTCTACATTCACAATGGCATTTAAAAATTTCAAGGGAAAATTTGACCTATAAAAATATATGCTAAAAAGATTACAAGCAGTTAAACGAGTAATCAAGATGGGGAGGGGGAGGGGCAAGAAAGCTGTCTGATCGGGGGGCTGTGCTGTGTGCCCCGTTAAAAAATTCCATGCGCTACAAAATCACACCAACATCAAAATTTGGACAGCCGGTCCCGCAATAAGAAACCTGGAACAACAGGTGTAAGTAAACAAACGATTAATAATAATAAAATAAAATAAAAAGGTAGAAGACGAGAAATATGAGGAGGAGAACGGAGACATCATCTAAAGTGGAAGACTATCATGACAGAATTTTATGAGTGATCCATAGCTCAATGAAAATCTAGGTATTACGTGGGGGGTGTGCCCGAGCACATTCTAGCACAATTACTCTTTCTTCTCTCCAAGCAGCAATAATCTTTTCATTTTCTTGCGCAGCCAATTATCTTTCTCTTTCAATGGAAAATTACTCGGTGCAATAGATTAAGAGGAACCATGCATTGAATTGAGAATACAATAGGGCTCATGGAAATGATCCAAGAAGAACATATAGTGAACAAGTAATGAAACAAATAAACCAACTTTACCCAAAAGTAATAAACAAAATGAATAAACAGAACTTCATATTATGATCCATTTCAAGCAACCATTCTTTTCTCACCTCAAGGAGAGGACAAATATAGCTGGGACCGACTTGTCTTGACTGGACCTACCGAGTTGGTGTAAGCACTGTCAACTCAGCAGAAAAAGGGGGGCAAAGAAAAAGGAAACAGAAGAAGTTAATACCCTCCACAACAATCAGCTTCAAATTGTGATAATAAACTGGCACGCAATTGCAAAACAGTGAGGCGAGAATGACAAAAGGCCAAAAAGCAAATAACAAGAAGATGCACCATTCAATTTTTAGCTACATTGCAAAAAGAAAAAATCAGAAATGAATGGAGTGGAAACAGGATTGAACGTGAATAGTAATACATAATGCTAAGAATATAACACTATAACAAAACTGAAAATGTAATTGAAATGGTGTGTGCATGGACTTTCCATACTCCCACGAAACAAAGATCTTAGAGCAAAAGCGTCACAAGCACCAAGTCTACATAAATCCAAGACATGACACAAGGCTGCTTGGAGAAACATGTAGAACATCCAGAGTTCAATACTCATAACTAATGGCAAGCAGATATGTGTGGTCTAGCCACAGCTGACGATTTGATTGATAACATTTTCATGGAACAAATATCTTAGAAGCAATTAATCTAAGAGATCCTACATTAATTTACAAAAGGCGGCTCTAGAGTTCACATGCTAAGAGACAAATGTTGTGGGACAAACATCTGATGAGCATTTAATCTAAGAGATCGAAATCTACAAACGGCACCTCCAGGTTTCGCATGCAAAAATGTTAAACTTTAACAATACTAAAGGCAAACAATTGCAATTGGACTTCATTGCTTGTAAGTGGTACACTAGATCAACCATTATATGTAATTTTAGAGGTCTTTCAGGAAGGATAAACAAATATCAATAATAAAGAGAAATAGTAACAAATCTGGACTAGAGATGGGAGTCAAAGATGGCAATTCAAAGAAATTCATTAATCACCAGTGACAAAATTAGGATTTTCACGCTGGCCCAAACCAATTGCTTTTAGGTTGATGGATTTCCTTCATTATCCGTACCCCACTGTTCGTCAGCCTCGCTACCGTTAACGAGTACTGCACCATCTGTAGAGTCAGCATCCACCACAACAGCCTCCTCTTGCCCCTCATCTTGCACCTCTTCTTCTCCATTGTGTTTCTCAACCTGGGAAAAAAGAAGAAACAAACAAACACAACAGTGCAAATTAACAAATTCAATCAAAACAACATAATACAGCTTCGGTTAATTTAAAGGAAGGATAAATCTTATATTAATATGTAACATATCTACAGTTCCGAATATCAGACTTATTCATTCCAATGAGGTGCAAAGAACTCCAATAGAGAACGAATGCCTCTTTGAAGGGTGTCTCTAAATGTATAAATGTTGGCAACTCAAAAAGATACATTGTTAAAAATCACCAGCCTCTGTCTAAAGCTAATATCAGGCAAATGCACAAACTTGCTAGAGCAGGATCCTTGAACACATTTCGAAGGAAAGAGATTCAAAATTCTCAATGCAGAGCATACCTCATGATCCACACTTCCATTTTCAAGTGGTTCCTCTTCCTCCACTCGAATGTTTCTAAAAGCCTCCACAAGGTTGACATTTGATCTATCAGCATAGTTTACATATTCCCTTGCTGGAGGATAAGTACCCCTACAGACCAATTAAACAAGTAAAATTCATAAATACCACAAATTGAACTACAATGTCAACAGCACATTTTCTAGTCATATACACAACTCATATTCAGGCATTGGGCCATAAAATATGATAGGCCATCAACTGAAAATACTTCAAAAACTTCACATGAACACTAGCGTTGGTTATGTTGCCCCGCAACATGTATGGATGAACAAATGATATATGAAACTGGAAAAAAAAAAATACGGAAGCTGGTCCAATAGCAGTAAGACTAAAAGAATATAAGAAGACAGTAGAAAGAGGCATGCAATAGAACCTGGTCTCTGCAACTTTTGATTCAACGGCAAGAGCAACTTGCCAGTCCTCAAACAAATTAGGATACTCTTCAGGATCAGCCAAAGATTCTGCAGCTTTCCGGTTAACCTGCAAGTGACATTAAACGACGGAACCTGGTCAAACAATGCAGATTTTAAAGCTAATTATTGAACGCACTCTTAAATAATCACTGATTCCTCTTCTATAATCATTGATTCCTGATGAGACAAATTTTACGGAAGAAGTTTAAGAATACTTCTTCATGGAAGAGACAGTAGCATGTGCCACATGCACAAAGCATTCCTAATTGGAAGAGGGAGGAATTGTTGAGAACGATAAATGTACCATTTGGCCCTATGATTCACGAATGCTTCTATAATGGGAACATATCGGTACCTTATAAGCAATACTCCTCGGATACGGACAGATAAACTTCCTACACATATCCATGATTAGAAAAAAAAAAATTATATTATTTATTTATTTTCGGACATGTCCTGATACTTCCATACACTCCGTTCACATATCCAATAATTCTTAGGCTTTAGAACACGTCTAGTGAGTGTTAACACTTGTAAATTTTAGAACATCATAGTATAATTGTTAAGGAAAGCATTATAATGTTTACAAATAGTTAGAACTTTTTCAAAAAAGAAGAATTGAGATATAACTCTCGGCTTCCAGATCACATTTTTTTTTACAAATGCTAAAAGTAATATATATTACATGACAAACTATAAGTAGTTTAATTTTATACATAGATAAATATTTATGTAGAGCGAGGAGAATAACAAATAGGTTAAACAAAAAATCCTATAGAACCGTTATTAGACCAACTATTCTATACAAAGCAGAATGCTAGGCTTTAAAAAATAAACAATAACAATGCCTTCATGTAATGAAAATGAGAATGCTAAGATGGATGGTCGGAGTGACACAAATGATAGTGTGATAGAAAAATTAGGAGAACACTCATTAGTGAGAAAATAACTGAGAGTGGATTAGATGGTATGGACACATACAATGAAGACTATACATGTGCCAATAAGAAGAGGAAGGTTAGTTCTCATAGAAGGTAAGAGACGGAGAGGTCAACCAAAATTATTGTGGGATGAAATTACTAGAAATTAATTTAAGTTATTAACTATAATAGGTGAAATAACGTGTAATAAAAAAGAATGAAAAAAGAGAATTCATGTTACCGAGTCCATTTATGTGGGATTAAGGCAAGGATTATGATGATACATACATGTTTTGTTTTTTTATATATAGCTACAATAAATATATATATATATATATATATATATATATATATATATATATATATACCTATATATATCGCAGTATTCATGCTTCATAGGTAAGATTCTAACTTTTTTAAATAGATGTTACCATGTTTGTATCATGTTGTGCATGTATTCATGCTTTATAGGTAAGATTCTAACCTAATGCTCCCTTTAGTTGGACAAACGGAAAAATGGATGGAAGAGATGTGGGGAGGGACGGATGAGGCATCCCTAGGGAAGGGATGGTTTTCATCCCTCCTTTTGTTTGGTTGGATGGAAGGAAATGAAATAGATCCTACTATAATTTCACTAATATATCCTTAACTATACCAATTACTTGTAATACATTAAAAGGTGGATAAGGACATATTATCAAATTAGTCTAACAAAAAATCCATCTCTTCCTCACACTTTTGGATGGAAGCAAGATGGTGGGCCCAGAGGAATGCCTCCTCCCCCTCTTCCTCTCCCTTCTACTAAGCAATGGACCCCCTTCCTTCCCTCCTACCGTACGTAGCATAAATATTTTAAAGAAGTTCTTGATTGGACATTTTCCACAACAATATTACACTGGAAGGAATGAAACAAAATTCGGTTCCAATTGTATCATGAAAAAAGAGTTGAGTCAAAGATGTTGCATTAAGGTACTTATCATTGTAATTGTGAGGTTGATGATGTATATAACAGGTACATCTAGCACTAGTTCCTAGAAGATTATGAGCCAGAAGATAAACTCTGTGACAACTAGGAGGCACCTATCATTGACAGACTTAATCATCATAATTTTTAATTCAGTTGATTTTAAAATTCTTTTACTTTTTTTCTTTTATTTGTTAACATAAACTATAAATTGTTTAATGATGGTCGTCATCTAGCTTCCCTACCAGCAAACAGAGCCTAAATCAAATGGCTATAGAAGATAGTCAACTTCAATCTTTTTGGCTATATGATTAGGCTAACTCAAGTAGGGAATTAGTGAAATCAATAACTGGCACAAAGCCAGGTAAAGGACAAGCAACCTTATTGAGGTCCTTTCGCCAAGTTGCAACTATCTCAGAAACCTTGCTTGGAAGATAAGACCTTGCCATCAAGGCCGCCTCAGGTATCCGGTTGCTGCAAACAGATAAAATAAAAGTAAAAAAATAGAAAAAGCATCCCAATTGTACCAACTGTAATTCTAGGAATCTGAGTGATTAAAATAGTAATTACCTGTCAACTAACAGCTGCAAGCACTCCTCCACTTTTCCCAACGTGAATAGACAAAGGAATGCAACATTGTTTTTTCCATGTTCTTTAGCAAGAGATGCAAGTTTAGATATTCCTTCTGCATCTCCTAAAGAAGAATAGAGCAGCAACAAACCACTAAGATCCATTGCATGCTTTAAACATTCTTCAGCCATCTCTAACTGCAATCCATCAACAGACAGTGAGAAATTGAAAAAACAAAAACTTGCAACTAATAATGCATCTGATATAGAATCAAATCACTTCAAAAGTTCTAACAGCCAAGAAGATGTTTCAAGCCGTCAGGCTACATTACCCAAAAACACAAGTTAAAAAAAAATAATCAAGATAAGGTTGCCTTTATTCTTCTAATCAAAGAAGTTGCAGACGCTCAGGTGTTGGGGGGGTGGGGGTGGGGGTGGGGGTGGGGGTGGTTTCTTAAATCACATGTTCTTTGGTCACCACGTTGTATGACAACATAGATCTTTCCAGCAGTTGAAAAAAGTTAGCATGGGAGCCTAACTGTGGCAGAGATTTCCAGATCAGACAATAATTGGCCATATAAGATTAAAAAAAAAAAAAACAAAAATAAAAAATAAATAAAAAATACCATTCCAGTGGACATAGCTAATTCACCCAACTGCTTCCATTTGGACTCGCTGTGCGCTCCGGTGGCAATTTCCTGTAACAGAGATAAATTTTGTTATCAGGAGGGTAAACACTGTTACAGAGTGCATATAATTCTTCAAAAGTTCAGAAAAGTATGCTCAAATGCTCTAGTGAAAGCACTCTAACTATGAGTTAATACCCTTACTGAAATAAATCAATAGGACCTACCTTTGCAATGTCTAATTTACCCAGCTGTATGGCTAGCTCAAATCTGTAGTCAGGGTCGGTAGCTACTTCTAGCGCTTCCTCTATCATTCCTCGCGATTCCAAGAAACGAGCCACACTGGACAATAAAATTATATCTTCCCATTATAATCTGAGGCATGCTTCAGAATCTGAATTTTGCATCTTATATATAGCAAGCGAAGCAGAAAATGAAAAGGTAAAAAAACAGGTAAAGAATAGATTATGATTGTGGGGGCAGATTCCTACTAAAGGAATGCACTTGTTGCAAGAACATTTGTCAACCTGCGACTTGAAATCATGGCTATATCTGGTCTGCATCATTAAGCGTGTATAAATAATAACTACAAATGCAACCAGGTTTGCATTCCACAAGAACAAGAAGAAGAATAGGCACAGAGAGACAGGCGCAAGCCGCTGCCTGCTGCCAAAACTGCAGCTTATAGCTGTGAATATCAACTGTAAGTGCATGCGAAAAATAAGAAATGAATGCACACATCTCAGGATGCCATTTGAAGCTCACAATTGTATCTTGTCTGTCTGGCTTTCAATTGGCCATACACTCACTAAAATTCCTAAATGCACCATTTTTTTTATGTTTAAACAATCCGAACTTTGTACTGAAAATTACTCTTTCCATACAGTTTGTGCAAGTAAATAGCAATAGAACAGCAAAAGAGTTCAGAATAAAATAATAAATAAATAAATTACATAGTCATGCCCCACATTTTATCTGAAGGTAAAGGGGCACCCAAGTATTGCAAAAAACTTAACTGAATACATTGCCGATCTGCTATTAGCCATGAAAATCTTACAATATACACCATGGAAAATAGTACTGAAAACAATATCAGCAACAATCTTGCAAGAAAGTGTGCTTAAGAACCAAAGCAAAATATCCATTATTGAATTATGTGTCTTTTTGTTAAAAACTTCAGGATAGTTTGCCATCAATTTCCACAGAGCAGGCATTGTGGTATCAATAGCAAGAAGCAATTAGTTGTAGTTGTTGGTGGTGGGTGGGTGTTTTGGAGGAGAGGGGGGGGGGGGGGGGGGGGGGGGGGGGGGTGAGAAAGTGATAGAGAGAGAGAGAGTGAGAGTTATGTGCTTTATAAACAAACAATAAGATGGGAAATTTATACATATTGCTGTTGTTAAGTTGCCAAATTATACACCTAGGAGATATTCCGATGGCCCATTGCATAAATAAAGTTAGTTTCCAAAACAATTTATACCTATTTTGATGCTCCTTGGGAATAGAAGGTAAAATCTCATTGGCCCGTTCCAGGTCACCACGCATCACCAAAGTCTTGTACTCAATCAAGCTGAGAAGTAAGGTGTATCCCATAACACTGCAAGGAAAAGGACAAGTAAGCTAGTGCTTAATAATGAAGATCAGAGCACTTGCTCCTTCCAAGAGAGCAACTAAAAGGCCACTCACTTGAACTCTTTGTCAATGAGGTACACCCTACTTTGATTAGCTAGATATCCCAGCAAGTACATAGGCCGGTCCAAGTGAAACATCGTGGTTACCTGGAATCATCGCATTGAATATGAACACAGCTTCCTCACATCCTTGAAATAAATAATATCTGGAAGTGTAGAAAAAACAAGAGTGAACAATACACCATACCTCACCACCAACACAATAATTTAGCCGCCAGGAGGAGTTGTTGTAAATGAAACAATCCCCTACCCATATTCCAGTCCTGACTCGTTCATTTATTTCATAAAGAAGCTCAAAGGCATCTTCAACGCCTTGCTCATCTACAGGTCTTCCACTATCTAAATGTGTAGAAACTACATCCCGCTGGCAACATTATAAACAATGTTCAATTTTATAATATATATTACATAAACCACATTTTCTCTCACTGTCCAAATTTATGAAGAAAAAAGAGTTCATCTCCTGTAATGCATGTTACAAATTTATGAGAAAAATACAGATAACGATGCTTACATTGTACTTTAGTATGTAAAAGGATGTATCACTAGCAATTGCCACTAAATCACCACTATCAGCCCAGTAGAGGTTCTGAAAAAAAGAAGAAAAAAAAAAATTTAATAATTAATTAAAATAAATTTCTGCAGTGTAGCTGTAAACAGTAAAATTGAATCAGTAGAGCTATTTTGAGGAATCTTATTGCATACTTTGACATTGACATCAATCCGTCGTATCAGCCTGCATTCAGCCCAATCGTAAAAACAAATAAAATCATTTGAGCACATTGCCAGTAAAGTTCCCCCAAATACATGCTCAGCAGAAAATGTCGGTCGGATACTCCTCTTTTCCTGAAAGTTCTCACCTTTATTAAACTTCATTAAGTATCATAACAGAAATAAATAAAATTTCGCTAAAAAGTTTAATCCACGCTACAACCACAAGAGCCAGATGAGATGTCCATGACAGCACTTCAAGATGTGAAGTTCATGAGCTTGAAATATCTCTAATTTGCCCCCACACCGCCCAACAACCCCCCCCCCCCCAAAAAAAAAAAAAAAAACTCGTTACATATTTAGGAATTTCTATTTTATTAAAAAATTTGGCAGAGAATTAGAACCAAGACTTGACCAGATAAAAGATAAGTTTTGTGCATCAACCTTGCAGTCAGCATTATTTTTTTTTTTTTAATTCACTCCAGCACAAATAATGGGGGAATAAAAGAATGAATAAAGGGAGGGGGCAGGGGAGGGGGGTCTAAGCAGAAGTGAGATTCAATTGGTTTCTTTTACCATCACTTTCGGACGTCAAACAGCAAAACAAATAAACTAAACAATGTCAGATAAAATACAAACCTGGAAATTTTTACTAAATATTTTAATCTTTGACGTACTCTCTCTAACAGCATATTCCCCATCTGAAGACCAAACAAATTCCAATGCTGAACCAAATGACCTATTTCTCCATGCCAAAGCTGTATATACGATGTATTCACCATCTCCGCAAACAACAACAAACCTCCCATTTGGATTATGCTTTAAACTCTGAAAACAAAAATCACAAATGATTGCCAATCAAAACACGTCAAACTACCACTGATTTATTCTTCATCATTAAGAGTAACAGTTTCAAGGAGAAATATATACTAATAATCAAAATAAAGACATTCCAGAGTAAGATCCCCGTTAGTTTCAGTCGAGGGTGTTATGAGGAGCAATATGGTACAGACCTAAACTTTGGCATAGCTTGCACAAAGTGGTTGCCAACAGACTAGAACATGTGTTCTCACCCTTAAAAGGGACACCAGGAAGTAACCCCTATTCTAATAATTATAATATTTTCCAACTGATACAGAAAACAATAGCCGGCAGGCAAAAGAAGATTTTTAATAATACAAGTATACAATTGTAAAGGAAGCACGCTTGGTGGTACAAAATGGATAACTTAAAAAACTAATTAAAAGAAAAGAAGCTAAAAATAAATAAGAATGTTAACATCAGTAAGTGACAACAAGAGAGAATATATTAAGCAATGACTACATTTGTTAAGAGTCAGAGGTGGCACCATTTGAGTATAGTTGGGAAATGTTGTCAACAACAGATTCATCATCAGGTCACATGATCAACTAAGACCCATTGAGTGCACCACTACAAAGGATAGTTTGAAAGATGTTGAAAGCACCAAAATGAAAAGAGTAAGGCCAAAAACAATGCATATTGAGATGAAAAAAGATACTACGAAGCACCACTCCTGCCAACCCATGGCTTTGGCAGGTGTGGATTGGATAAACTAATTTAAGACTCTTATCTGCATGAAATACATAACTCACTGAGTCCAAGTTTCCACACTTGGTAAGAATGCTAAAGAAGTTTGAAATTTTTTTAACAAGGTTGCATGTCGCACATCATAATGTTTTAATTTTTAAACAAAGCTATCAAAGAACGATTCATTGTCTCCAACCGATCAATATCACTCTACATGATAAAAGTCATAATCCTAACTATACTCTTAACTCTTTTTTTTTTTTTTGATAAGTAAAATAAATTAACTATACTCTAGCTCTAAGACATTCAAGTTGGTGAAATATTAGACAATTTTTTCAGCTAATAGTCATTATTCTATAGTTAAAGAAATCCAAATATTATATTTTCTTTTCTCTTAGAAAAGGTCTAGTAGTCTAGTTTCATTATCCCAAATAAATGCATATACATATATATACAGCATTTTCACAGCCATCTATATTACACAGACATTTGACATTTCAACATGTCACTGGATGGTATGGATACCGGATGGTGTGTGACACGGCACTGGATGGTACGGGAACCGGATGGTGTGAAACACACCCACCATGTGACAATTCCTCAACAATGGTGTCAGCAGAGAGATAAAGAACATCTGCCTATTTCACTAAGGGTTTCACAGCATACCTACCCAAAGTTATTCCATTATTACTGGACACTCTAAAACGGGTTAAGTATCAGTATCTAATGGGCAAATCTGCATAGAAAATTTAATTTATCCTAATTTAAAGATAATGAAAACTTAAATCATTTTAATAATCCAGCTGTATCCAACTATTCATGTAGTTCGGGATCAGCAAAGAAATAAAGGAACACATACCCACTTCAGCGAAGGTTTCACAGCATAGCTTCAAAGTTATTCCAATATAACATGGATACTCTAAAAAAAATATCACGTCCAGTGGGAATATTAGCAGAGACAGTACTTTATCCCAAGTCAAAGGTGTTGTAAAATTAATCATTATGATTATTTAGCCATATTCAAATAGTAAGAGATTAACCTCTCTTATCAAATCTTACACCTAGAAACACACCCATGTTCAACTTGCATATCTGAGTCAATGTAACATAAGCAGCAGTTAAACATCTCAACCAAAAGCAATGGACTCTTACTGCATGAAAACAATAAATGTCATTGAAGTTAATCTGAGGCCAAATACCTTTTAATAATTCAAGCCCAAGTAAGGAAACCCGTCATCATCCTTGCCTTTATCCCCCATATGAATGGCAACGGCCACATGAGTTCTCCTTTCCCATTTTTGTATAATACAAGTCATTTCTCCTATTATATTTAATCTTTTAAAGTCATTTACAATAATATTTGGAAGGCTTCTTTGTCTCTTACATTCTATGCAAAGTAATTGTCCATTTTTCTTACTAATGCATCTACAACTTCATTGTCTGTACCCCCAAAGTCTTCTTTCTTTTATTTTATAACTAATTGGCTCAACTCCTAATTTTTCCCTCACACACTGATTATTGACTCTAGCTCTTCTCGTCACACTTATCACCCATTTCAACATTCTCATTTTAGCTACATGAATGCATTTTTTCTCCCCTTTTTGATTCTTTTTTAATGTCCTTTAGTCCACATGAAATAGCTAGCCTAATGACCATCCTGTAGATTTTCTTTTTCCTTCCTCATTTGATGTTCTTTTATCACATAAGACAACAATAGCCTGCCTCCATGTTGTCCAACCCATTTCAATACTACGAATTACATCAGCATCTATCTCCCAATATTATTATATTATTAATCCTAAATAATGAAAATGTTGAGTAATCTTTGATCGATTTATTATCGTAATGCTGTCATCCATTGAAACATTATTAAATTTATATTCTATATCAGTCATACTAATTTTTAAACCTTTCAACTCTAGTGCATTTCTCTATTTTTCTATTTGTATTGCTAAGGAAAAATCTAATAACAATATATCAATGGTAATCAATATGCACAACGGGATGTATCTTGCTTTAGCACTAACCTTAGATAAACTTATACAGGAAAATCACTAGTATCTCCATATATGGTACAGAGTCTATTCTTTGTATCCCTATATCTTGAATGATTCCAAGTATTGTATTAATTTGTTTTCTTTGTAAGGCGCATCAAATTATCTCTCCACTCTTATCATATTTTTCCATGTCTATAAAATCCATGCGCAAATTTTTTGTTTATTTCTACGAGCTTCTATCAAATCTTTTACTAAGTAAATGACCTACATGAGGATCATCATGACATAATCCAAATTGAATATGGGACAATCTGGATTCCTTCAAAATTACGGAACTACATGGCAGAAAAGGTACTTCAAAAAAATAAATTAAGGATAACTCACTTGTGGATAAAGATCACAGTTCCCCAACTCTTTAACTGCCAAAGGCAATCTTTCTCCATCATTAATCTGAAAGAAAAAGAAACATAGATGGTAAATGTCGAATCAAACAAGAAAGATCTTATATTTTAATACCATAGCAATCCAATGAATATAAGAATTCAAAGAAGTCAAACCTCATAATCTGCTCCCACACTCTTAATGTTAACAGTCTGAATTTCATTATGCTTAGCCCATATAATTTTTCCACCACTGTCCATACTAGCTACAGGTTCTTCTCTTCCAATTTTTACCATAATGGTGCCTTCATCATAACCAATGACAATCCTATACAGCGATATAATTGCCAGAAAATGAAGTTGCAGTCATAGGGGAAAAGAGAATAAGTGTTAAACGCACTCTCAAGAAAGATTGAAAAACTTTAGCAAATGTAGCATATATTTTATACCCAAATACTTCTAAAAATTCAAATATTTCAACTCAACCAAGCCTTATTTCAACTGTCAGTTATTGGCACATAAACGACAAGATGAATAATCTGTACTATACCATACACACACACACACTCACTATTTAAATGTCAATAACATTTTTTTTTTATATGCATTTTTAATACATTAAATATATACCAATTAGTTTATATCATCATCCTTGCCTTATTCCCGCAAGAATGGGGTCAGCCACATAATTCTCTCTCCATTCTTTTCTATTAGTTGCTATTTCACCTAATATGTTTTAACTTTTTAAAATCATTTCTAATAACTTCATCCCACATTATTCTAGGTGGCCCTCTCTGCCTCTTGCCTTCTATAGATACTAATTTACCTCTTCTTACAGGCACATTCCATTGCATGTGTCCAAAGCAAGTCTACTCTCTCTTTATTCTCTCGTTGATAGGTGCCACTCCTAATTTTTCTCTTACACTTTCATTAGTGACCCTATCTCTCTAGCCACTCCCACCATCCATCTTAATATTCTCATTTCCACAACATAATGTGTTGTTCTTCTTACTTATTTTATATACTCCCTCCGTCCCATAATAGTTGTCCATCTTTAGTATTAGAAGTTTTTAAGGGGGCAGGTAATTAATGCATTGTCCCCTTTTAAAATTACCAATTTGTCCTTTCAAGTTTAAATATATATATTACCAAGTTGGAAGATTTTTTAAAAGTTAAAGGGCAATGATGGAACTATAGCATATATTGTGTTTTACTTTTCAAATGGGACAACTAATTTGGGACATCCTTAAATGGAAAGATGGACTATTAATATGGGACTGGGGACTGGGAGAGTAATTATTTTAACGAGTAATCAATCACACATGTACGTTAGACTTTTCACTTTAGCATATCATATTCTTTTTTTTTATACATATACATTTTTATGATAATTAATCAAATATTTACTTTCTATGAATTCTCTTCTCTAAATTAATCACATACATATATATAAATATGTTTTCAATATTGAGTTTTAAACCCATCCTTTATTTAAGATAATAATTTTAATTTATTTTTTCTACTTTCATCTTTGGATAATTTAAAATCTTTTTTAATTGTGTTTTATGTAATGAAAAAATGCCTATTTCCTTTTGCATGCTTAAGAAGACCACATGGATATTGAGCCACTTAAATAAGTCATGAAATCAGTGAGTGAGACGAACATATCTCTAAAACTTCAACACACACATTCACACAAATGGAATAAAAACCAACTTACCGGCGTGAACCCTTCATATATCCAATAGCCCAAACTCTTTCAAGACCATAATTCAATGTGTTCTCAAGCCTGTAAGCCAAAACAAAGGTAAATAGATCAAGGAAATCAAGAAACGGAAGAAACTACAAAGATTAAATGCTTGATTATCAAGATTGGGTCCATTTTTCTTGATAATTTGTTACTTTGAGAAATAAATAAATAACTAATATACGAAACAAAATAAAGGGGAATGTACACAAAGGTCAAAATTGACATTGCAATTGGAATTTTTAACCTTGATCTTGATCGAGCTGGATTGGTTAAACAGCACTTAGTGACATAATTACAAAGTACTTGCATATAATCGCATCATAAGACTAGTGACATTAATTATGTTTTTTCTTTCAGGAAAAAAAAAAAAAAAAGAGTGTAAAATGAAAAAATAAATAAATAATTGGAAACCCATATATGCAACACAGTAACTATTATAGCATTAGTGGTATCAATTACCAAGAAAAAGATTCTTCTGCATATTGCATAATTTATATTCCTTTTCCATCCAATTTACGAGAAAGTATTAGGTACCCCCACCCAATGGTAAGTAACTATTATAGCATTAGTGGTATCAATTACCAAGAAAAAGATTCTTCTGCATATTGCATAATTTATATTCCTTTTCCATCTAATTCACGAGAAAGTATTAGGTACCCCCACCCAATGGTAAGTAATTATTTACTATTATCAAGGGAAATAGTGAGAATTCATTGGGCTCATTTAAGGCTCGGCTCGGGCTCGTTCGTTAAGCAAAGGAGTCGAGCTCAATTTCTAGGTTCTTTTAGTAAGCGAGCCGATCCTGAACAGTATTGGGCTAGGCTCGTGAACATGAGCTCATGTAGGCTCGTATACGTTTGTGAACATAGGCTTCTACAAGTTCATGACCAAGGTAATGCGATGTTGCACGAGTTCATATCAAGCCCCCCAAATGAATTTAGCAAGATGAGCCCAAGTCGAGTCCAAGCTTCTCCAAATAATTACAAGCTGAACCTGAGTTCAGCTTTTCGAGCTCATCACGATCCCAAGACGAGCATGAGCTAAGCCCACAAACGAACGAGCCGAGCCCGAACAAACTAAAGCTCAGCTCGGTTCATTTGCAGCCCTAGCCAAGGGTACTACTTAGCTAGTGCCCCCAGGGTACCCAATATTTTTCCTAATTTACAACCAATATAAGAATAATGCATGAATCTAAGGGATGTATGTATTGGAGACCTTTCTCTATTCTGCAAAACTTCTAAAGATAAAACTTTAGTGGGATGAAATAGCGCTGTGAGAGGATGAGTGAAAAGGGGATAGTATCACATCCTCAACAAAAGTATTAAACTTTTGATTTTAAAGAACTATAAGGTTATGTGATGTGAGAAGGATATTTGGATTGTGGATTGAATAAATAGAGCCTAAGGCGAAAAGGAAAAGATGAGCCCAGAGGGAGAAGAGGCTCACAATTACATCCTTACACATTTGACAGTACCATTTTATTTTTCATACTAAACATACTATGGGATTCAATATTGAGCTTCAACTTCAAAAATATTAATGCAAATCTGAATGCAACTAACTGATAACTAGGAAGCCAATGGGTTCCGAAAGTATGAAAATGCATTGATGCCAAAAAAAAAAAAAAAAATAGGAGAATCTATGTCATGAAAACTTAGTATTAATGATATTTTGACCATAAAACTTACCTATATGTGGTTGCATGCCATATACGAACAGTACCGTCCTCAGAACCTGTCATTATTATGGGAAGTTCAGGATGGAAACACACAGCAGAGACATTGTGGGTGTGGCCTTCTAGTGTCTGCACACAGCTTTTGGTTTGATAGTCCCACACCTGTTTCACAGGATTAAGCCACCAATATTTCTAGATTATACAATAACATGCAAAATTCAACGAGGAAAAGAGAAAGGGAAGTAGGTGGCAAACCTTAGCAGTGTGATCATCAGAACCGGTGATCAGATAAGGTTTATCACCGCCTGTGAAGTAATCAACACAATTTACCCCTTTCAAATGGGCATCCAATGTAAAATTTGGGTCAGGAGAGCCAAGATTCCAAATCTGGAAAAAGAGAGTTTGCCAGCTTATGCGTGTTATATATACTTGACGATAATTTTATTCGCGACAATTAAAAATAAGCAAACCAATTCATACCTTTATAGTGCGATCAAGAGATGCACTTGCAAATGTATTTGTGTCTTTTGGATTAAATGTCACTTGCATCACATAATGGGAATGACCCTCAAAAATTTGAGTACACACCCAACCCTTCTCCCAGTCCCAAAGCTTAATAAGCATGTCATCAGAAGATGATAGAACATATGGAAGGGTAGGATGAACAGCCACACACCTAATATAATCCGTGTGCGCTTCAAATACTTTAACCTTATCCATTGTATTATAATTGTAAACACGAATATACATGTCATCAGCACCAGCAACAACCCACTGTTTGCGTGCTATAAACTTCGCGGATCTAACTGCAGGCACATATAGTAGTTGTTAGAGCACAAAAGAAAATTTCATCAAGATGTGTGATCGCAAGAAAAAATGTTAATCATGTACCTGGTAACTCAGTAACCTCAAACGACTTTGCCATAGTCTGCAGTAGTAAAAAAGAAGTTAAAGTTAGCACTGTGATAGTACTAATGACCGGAACCCGAGGCCCTGATAGAGAGTCATGGAAGCACTACTGATCTAAGACAGAGAACTACTTAACTGTTTTAACTCATTTTCAAATAAAAAATAAACAAATAAATAAAAGAAGAACAAATAACTAAAATATAATCACAGTAAGCTAAAAGACAATAAAAATCCTATGCAATCCACAAAATTTAAAGCAATAAAATAATAAACAGTATATACTAGATTTTTACATGAAAACCGTTAAAAGGGAAAAACCATAAGACTTAGTCAAGAAAACCAATCCACTACCAAAAAAGACGGAATACAACCTAGGTTAATAGACTCAACCCAAGAATCCCCTAGTTAACCCCTTGACACAGAAGACTCCAATCTTTTCCCCCGAAAAGTCTCCAGGAAGCTCTTCCGCTTATATACATCGTTCGCTCCTCACAAACCTGCTTCTCCACTGAATCCAGTTGTGGCCACTAGTCATCCAAGTGTTAATCTGGTTGTGAATTGAACAGAAATGTTGAACTAGTCTTGAAGTACGCAGCAACAGTTGTCACCAAATATGAACATACTCAACAACCAATGCAGATGATGAAAATGAATATATATATATATATAATCACAAAAATCTGCTCTAAAAATTTTTCTCTGTGCATTAGACGTGTATAGGTCTATACTAGGGTTAGGTATATATAGGGCAACCAAGTAGTAGTGAGAGAATACATTTTTTGGAGAGTTTAAACCAAGTTGGAAACTGCCTTTCCGAATAGCTCTATCAATCGAAATAGATGTTGATTGATCGAAATCTCTCCCGAAGCCTTTGATAGATGCCGTGACCAATTGAATTCTTCTGCAAGTTTTAACTTAGAAAATTTTCAATGTGGAAGTTTTCATGCAAGCTTAAATACTTTTAAGGAATCAAAACAAGATTGAACTTGTTGGGTATATGGGAGAGATCATAGATCTTTAGATGAAATTTTCGATTTTTTGGCTTCTTTGAAGGCCTAAAGGTCCTTTGTGGCCTTGTGTATATTTTCAGGGTTTCGCTCCCCTATTGAGCGCTTTTATAAAATTATTCTTACTTATCAAAAAAAAAAAAAAAACAAGATTGAACTTGGAAATTTAGAAACCCTAGTCAGTGACTGCATCAGTGATTAAATTACCTTTTTACCATTGTATACAATGATTACCAAAATACCCTTGGATATAGGCATGAATTCCATCTTTGACCTTACGAGGTAACTAGCACTAACTTTTGGACAGTTTCTACACTTAAGTTAGAAAATTAAAACAAAAGAACAAACTCAAGTTTTTCTAAGAAATTTGTCAACCTAAGTCCTATTGAGGGTGAAAAGTAAAACAAACTTAAATTCCAAAAGTTGTAACTTTAAGATTCCTTACAAGCCTTGTTGCCTTACATGTCGTGTTTCTTATGCTTCAAATTATCACTAATACACCAACTGCACCACCAACTATTAAGGCCATGGAAATGGCATTTAAGGAAGAGGCTCAGAGAAAACAGGATGGAAGTTATAGTTTGATCTATAAGGAAATACTCAACTCTCAGGACCTTCAAACAACTTATATACGTCATAGAGTTCTGATCATGGCCTAACTAAAATAGGGAAAATGACATTTCAAAAACTGCAATCGTGCCATAAAAATCAAATTAAAGCTACTGTGTGTAATGATAGTGCATTGAAGTCAAGAAACAGTAAGTCAAAATATTTCACGATTGGCTTCATTCATTGGGAAGAGTTCGAATGTTGCCTCTATGAAGTTTTGATTACATACCAAATATGATCAATTGTATTCAGAAGTTATTCATAAGAAACAATACCGGATTCAGAAACACTAGATAACATTGCCTAGAAAGGCATTCTTTAGATGTCCATTCTGCACTTTAAAATCTTGACATGTTAGGCTCGCTTATTTCAACCAAGAGATTAGAACCTTCAAATAAATTATCGGTCCATGCTTAAAAAGATAATTAAAACAGTGTCCAAAGGTTACAACAAAATTCACGTTGTTATCAAGCCATGGGGCCATTCAATCTCCAGAATGATCCCTAATATGCTGAAAAATTCACCTGGTTTTCTTGTAAAATTATAGAATGCGTTGTATAATTTTATATTAAACAAAAGATTTAAAGCAATAAATTCCAGTTGTGCCACTTTCTAATGTTTCTTGGGAGTTGGTTGAAGCCACTCACACGAAAAATTCTATTTTGCAGTAAAACATCACGATTCTTGTGCTGTTGAAGTTCTAATGAATTACAGCTCTCAAGGAAAATATAATGTCCCAAGACTCAACATAAACATCAATGTTATCACAAAGTTTATAACTCTTTGCTCAATGACGTTCTCCACCGTAGAAGTAGTGAGGAGAATGAGGAGGAGAATAGGGTGCCGATAGTGGCATGCTTGTCCCCTTTGGTTTTAGCCAATAATAGAACAAACCTTAGAAGAGATTCAAAATAGTCGTTGACATTCTAAAATGACCAATAAAAAGGAAAAATTCTTCATTCACTTAAATATTTTGACAATAGATTTGATAGTCATCTTCATTTTCTTGCTTCGACAGAATACTGCCTCTACCAATTTTTTGTAATGCTTTTGCAATAATTGCCCTCTAGTAGCACAGAATACTTTGACATTTGAAAACCCTAATTTGAAGAGCTCCAGCAAGTTTACTCACATATCACATACTCGTACCCTCATGTCATATTGTGTCAACACAGATACCTTAGGGCAAATAGCAAGTCTGGGTAACATATGTTATTAAAATATTGTTAGAATTTAGAAGAACAGAATATCTACTAAAGAATGACAACTAGAATTTAATATAACAGAATAAGTCTTCCAACAAATCACAATAGTTTATTTGGAAGTTGCACCATGCCATTTAGATGTAAAAGTGTATTGAATTAACATAATTCAGCAGACTATTCTACGCATGAACTTTGAGAGTCTTTTAAGAGTGGGTGCCGTGTATTGCCTCCTAATGTGTGGTCAGCACTTTTTTATTCATGGGGAAAGTATATAATATTTTAACAACAAATAAAATGCACTCTCTCCGTTCCAAAATGTGTCTGGTTCGAATATTTCAACTTCTTAAAAGATCATGCATGTCCCTTCCTCAACTTCCAAAACTAACCGTCCTTACATTTTTAAATTTCAAAAGCTAAGGATAATTTAGAAAGTTTCAAAAAAAAAAAAAAATCTCATTGATTTTTCAAAAGGAACACCGAACACTTATTTTGGACACCCCTAAAAGGAAAGAAAGAATAGGTGGAAATATCATGGAAATAGATCACTTCTATCCGATAGCTAGCTAGCAGCACCTTTGACTAACAATACCTAAAGCAAAGCAACTATGAAAGAGGTTTGTTCGAGTAAAAGCATGAGTTTAGGTAAACCCCTAGCTTCTTGACCGAATAGGTTAGTAGAGGTGGGAGGTACGTAGTTGTGATTTACAAAAGATTAGAGATAATTGGCATGAGAGGATTAAGTAATGAATTACCTGGAATGTTATGGAGATGACTTCGTAATGATTTAGAAAAAAAAAAATAGAAATAACTGGCATGACAGGATTAAGCAATGGAACACCTAGAGATCTTATGGAAACAGATCACTTCATTGTGAATTACAAAAAACTAGAAGGTAGACATATAGCCTGAAGAATTAATACAAAAGATGTAAAAGTATAGGGATACAATTAATCACTTTCATCATCATCATCCTTGCCTTTATCCTGCACAAACGGGGTCGGCCACATGGATTCTCTTTTTTCAATTTTTTCTATCATAAGCCATTTCTCCTACTCGATTTAATTTTTCTAAATCATTTCTTATTACTTTATTCCATGTTAATTTTGGTCGACCTCCTTATCAAAAAATTAAAAAATAAAAAATTAGTCAACCTCCTTGACGTTTATCTTCTATGCAAATCAATCTTTCTCTCCTCACAGGCGCATCTATATGTCAATGTTGAATACGTTCATACCACCTATGTCTACTCACTCTTATTTTCTCACTAATAGGTGACGCACCTATTTTCTCCCTAATTCTTTGATTTTTTTTTTTTTTTTTTGATGAGTCCTAATCCTTTGATTATTAATCACTTTACCTACACTTTATTCATTTATCGCAGGTGGGGCTGACTCCCTTTTCTATAATCAATCAATCGCGTGAATTTGACCATCAAATGCTATAAAAATTAAATGTATGATCCTGTTTCTACAAGACCGTTAGATGAAATTCAGAACAATATATCAAGCCATACTGTAACTCACCCTCACTCCATAGAAATAATTAAATTAAAGATTAAAACAAAATTTAAAGAACATGGAAAAAACAAAAAAAAATATCACCAAAATATGAATCACAGAGACATTGGAAGGCATAACAAAGTACAAAATATAATTCAGTTTTACAAGAGCTAAAACTTCGTTAAGTCATAGCACACCTGAGACTGGTAGTTCCAGATACATACGGTGCCCGAATACAAACTTGCCAGAATCCTGCAGGAAATAGTGCCATGATAAGCCAAAAAAACAAAAAAGCACTTTCACAAACAATGAACTTTTCCTATTGCCTAGAAACTTATTTATCTAAAAACAAAACAAATACTATATTTAGTTGGGGGACAAAAGGATGAGACTCCCAGTTTGTTTTATCAATTAACAAAGAAAAAAGAAAGAGAGAGAGAGAGAGATAAATGCAAGTACAAATAGAATGTATGACATAAACGAAGTGGAAAAGTAAAGGAAAAAATACCATGGTTCGGTCGGATGCAGATCCACGGATTTTACTCTTTCTGATCTTTGAGCAAGTTTTCTCTGATCCAGTAATAATTTTTGTCAGCATATCGCACTAATATTTCAAAATTTACACGCAGAGAATGAAGATCTATTCTACAAATGAAATTCCTTTACTTCCGCTATTAGAAAAACAAAAAGGAATTCAAAGTTAACGAATATTAGTACCTTTATTTCGAGTCTCAGAGGCTGTGGCATACCAATCACCCAATCAAAAGAAAAAAAACAGAAATTAGTTAGTAATAAAAATGTAAAGTTTCAAACTGATTTTGAGTCCAGGATTCAAATCGATGCACTAAGAGCCATTAAGTATAAGAGAATCGAAGAAATTCACAGTAGATCTAATACATGTTGAAATCGTTTGAATAGCAAAAACAACTGATAGACTCACCATGTTTGCGGATGAAACCGGAGAATGAAACCCTAAAGATGAAGATGAGATCGCAGTGAAAGAAGCGAAGACTCAGCTATAGCGATCTTTGTTGGAATTGTTCGGTAACTGGAGTGAGCGATAACATGAGAGGTAAGATACAGAGGGAAAGAGCGAGGTTTTGCTCGTAAATAAAGCGGGTCGCGAGAGGAAAAGATATACGTAATCAAGAGAATATTTATGGCTTATTTTTACGAACTGCACTCAGGGCTCAAACACACGCTGGTGGGTCTAAAACTCAATGAGATAAAACTGTTCCTTCATTGGGTCCAGTCTGGCATGTTGAGATTGTTGCCGGTACGAACCCAACCAACCATGATTCGAGCCGAATCAATTACTCACCTTGACTCCACAAGAACTAGGTTGAACTTGAATAAAATTTAGGGATTTTTACATAAAAGTGGTAGTAACGAAAGAATATTATCAACTCATGGGCGTAGTTTTAATATTTATAAATATATGAATCAATTTCTATTTTAACCCTTTGTTAAGCTAAAATTATATTTTTATCTCTAAAATCTTTTTATGCACAACTTACCCAAAGAAACATTTGTACAAGTTCTAGAATTTTGTCAAACAGTACTTAGGAACTGTTATGTCGCATAGGAATTAGGAGACACAATGCGTAGTTTACAACGAAGAATAAAAGAACTTAAATCTTTAATTGTTCTAATACAGAATATTTTAGAAGCTATACGGCAACTGTTTTAGTCAAGTTTATGAGTAGAATAGAATTTAATAATTTAAATAACTCTATGAAACAATTAGGATAAAATCTTGATTATATTAAAGAACAAGTAGTATTGAATTCTAGTTCAAATAATTTGGATAATAAAATCAAAAAATAATTATAAACTATTTAAAATTTCTTAAAACCGATATTCAAATATTATTACAATAGTTTTATGAGCACTAGTAATCATGATTATCTAACAGCTTTAGCTGAACTTTATAAAATTGATAAAAACCCAGTAGGATTTACAAGTTTTAAAATAGACGTACAATCAACCAATATACATATTACACACAATAACTTTTTAATCCAGTTATTACTTCAGTTATCTGAAAAAGGTAATAAACTTAAAGAAAAATTAGAAGTAATACAATAAAGTATTCCCAGATAATCTTCTAAAGAATTATCAGATAAAATAAAGGATATAAAGTTATCAACTAATAATCAATTCTCGTCTGTAGCCACCAAGCGTGTAAATTTATTACAACCTCATAAAAAAATTTCACAATGGCCATTATCCTTAGAAAAGCCAAAGAAATAATAAGAGTAGAAAATTTATATGACAATGAACATGATGCTAAAAAATATATAGAACAAAAAATGAAGAAGGTAAAAAATAAAGTCAACCTTTATGCCAATAATCTACTAGACTTCCAGAGCAAAATATATAATCATTTTAGCCAGAGAAAAATAAGTGTAGTCAACAATAAAGTTATTTTAGACCTTATAACACCTGAAGCATGTCAAGAGTTAAATGATAATAATTTAGAACTTGTGCATTTAGGTGTCATAATGATAGGATTAGTAAGATTAAACAAAGAAGAAATAGGAACTAGAGCACTTACTTATATTTATAATGATCGATGGAATAACCATCAACAAGCACAAATAGCCAGCGCTAAAATAGATTTAGCAGACAACGCAGCAATAGTAGGATGTATCCCCAATTACACGATGACTACTAGATAATTCAGTAAACATATTAAGATTGCTATATCCACAAAAGGATACCATATGACAGGACAATTTAAAAACCTATTAGTTAATACTTTATTTATGGGAAAAGCAATTAACCAATATAACTTAAAATTTAAAGCCTAATTTAGTGAAATAATTAAACCTTTTAGTAGCAAATATGTCCAGACGATAGAAGTTAGAAAAATAAGCAGTATTATCCATGAAGAAACAGAATATAAATTACTTAATCTTACTATTACAACTAAAAAGATTCCCGAAAGTAATATAATATATGTTAAAAATAGTGGAGAAGCTAGCATAAGATTTAATAATTATAAAAGACATGATAATTTAGTAGATGATACCCAAGAAGACTTTTTAATTACACTCATAGAAATCGAATCTCCTGAAGAAATAAATGTCTTTTATGATAGATTAGAAAATGAAATTTTAGATAAAATAATGAATGATTTTGACAATCTTGAACTAAAAGATTTGAAAGAGAAATATCCTGAGCCAAATTACCAACTTATAGAAAGTATTTATCTAGGCGAAGGAAATAATGAAGATATTAAGTGAAATATATTAAAAGTCGGGTTTGAATCTTCTACACAAAACATGAACTAAACACTCTAAAAGAAGAACTAAATGTCGTAGTCGTAGAACAAGTAGAACATAGAGAAGGAAAAGAACCAGAAAACTCCACTTCTCAACCTACAGGATCTGTAGACCAAGAAATGCATAATGCAACTAGTAGTACTAATAAAACAAATAATGACTATCTCACGGGACAAAGACTACAGCCTACACCAGAAACATATGTTGAAAACAAAAACATACCAGATATATACACGTGGACACCACATTGTAAACGTTATGATAATATCCCAGCACATGACGCAGTAACTATATTAGACATATCATGACACGATCCCTAAGATTGGTCAAGAGTAATCGACGATTAGGAACAAGATTGTATTAGAACAGCTATTCTAACCCGATTCGATAATAGAACACAAGCATTAACTTATTGTGAAACTCCATTAAGAGAAATAATTCAAAATTGGTGGCAAGCTTATAAAGTTACTTATGCTAATGATTACAACCTCTTAAAAGATAATTTTACAATTCAACAGTTTACTAGCTTAATCAAAAGGGTATTACTAGGATAAGACAAATTACTAGAAGAAACCCAAATAAAACAAAATGAAGCCTTACGTAATCTATAATTATTACAAATTTGTGATTTTAGATATATAAGAGACTACACTAATAAGTTTTTTGAATATTTCGCTGCCACAGGAAAAATCGGAGACTTAACCTTACTCGTTAGATATCTTCAGAAATTATTAGGAAGTGTATGAACAAAAATTTGGGAAAAAATGGTTAGATAATTATCGAAGGGATAGATTAACTATAGGAGATCGAGTTAGCTATGTCTATGACATGTTAAAAAAGGGAGTGCCGACAACATAGATAATCTAAGCAAATTAAGAAACAATTTTTTGATGTATGTAAACAATTAGATTTTCCGCCATAATATGGTAGCATACCCCAAAAAACCTTTAAAAGAAATTAAAAAAAATACAAATTACGAAAAAGTAGAACCTATAAAAATTATAATAAAAAACCATATTTTAAGAACTTTAAAAATAACCCCAAACCATTTAGAAAGTGTCATTGGTATAAAAAATGAAAAATAATTAAAGATAAAAAAGACAATAAAGACAATAAAGATAACAAGGTTAATACATTACTCACAAGGGAATGAAGCTGCAAAATATTTTATTTGTGAAGATCCAGGTCATATACGACCAAATTGCCCTTATAGATATAAGCAAAACCCTATTAAGCAAATACAAGAAAAAATCAATATGCTTGAGGATATTAAGGAACAAATAGAATAATTATATGAATTAGAAAGCGTTTATGATTCCGACGACGACAATGAAAACATATATAGTATAGAAAGCATTGATAGTGGAGTTGATGAAGATCTTGAATAAGGACTTCATTCTATGGAGGATTATATTTGTACTCAGCTTACAACTTTAAACAATGCAACTCTTCCATTAAAGAAGGATATTATTATAAAGACCATTGTAAAATCCTATTATGTCACGACTATTATAATAAATACGAAAATAAGTTAGAAAATACATTAGTCGAATCCATAAATTCAATATATAAACCATCTAGTTTAATCCAATTTTCGGTAACATTGGAATTTAAAGAAAAATTTGTCCAAACTTCAGCTATGTTAGATACCGGAGCATCTAAAAGCATAATTAAAAAACATTTAGCACCAGAGGAAGTATTAATAAAATTAAATTATAATGTTAATATGAGTCAATATAATAATGAAAAATTACCAATAACTCATTGCGTTCAGAATGTTCATATACTAATTAATAACGAAAAATTTGTTTTACCACAAACCTACATAGTAAATAACATTCCCAATACTTATGATTTTATTTTAAGATTAAATTTTATAAACTCTCTCATTGGAGGATTCATGTATACCTCTACGAGTTTACAGTTTTTTAAAAAAGGAACATTTATTCCATCCAACCTTCCTTGTATTCCTCAAAAACAAAAATGAATTATTACTTATGTCAATACTTTACCTATGATAGAAAAAAATACAAAAAATTTATTTGATGTAACTGAATTTTTAGATGATGTTTCTAAAGCGTTAATGTTTCTTAGTCATTTATAGAACCTGAGATTTTCCTTAATAATAAAGCTATATTAAAAAACCCTAAATTAAACATAGGCAATCTTTTACGATTAGCTGAAACAACTAAATTTTAGGAGAAGATCCTCAGAAACACTAATATAAAAATAAAATCGAAGCCAAATTAAATATAATAAATCATTTCATAACTAAAAAAACACAAGATAATCCTCATACACTAGATGATCAAGACGAATTCCAAAAACAAATTAAAGAACTTTTATTGCTAAAAGTAAGAAGAAAAAACAATAGTAGACATAGAAGCCCAGCTTTTATGGTTAGAATCCATGCTAAAATAAAAATAGGAAAGGCTCGTATGGTTATAAATTATAAAATATTAAACAATAATACTTATAATGATAGTTATAAAATTCCCAATAAAGATGTGTTAATAAATCGAATACAAGATAGAAAATGGTTTTCTAATTTTAACTGTAAATCAGGATTTTGGCAAATCCGTATGGCTAGCGAATCAATTGAATGGACCGCATTCACATGTCTTGAAGGACATTATGAATGGTTTGTTATGCCATTTGGATTAAAAACAATTTTGTTGTATGCTAGTGGAACCTTTAATAAAGCACAATCTACTTTACTCTTAACAGATCTATAAATTTTAGGAGTAACCAACTTAATTGAAAAATTTCAGATATTCCTTGATAAAGAATTTCTTATACGAACAGATTGTGATAACATAGTCAAATTTGTAAACAAAGCAAAGTAACAACGGATGTCTGCAAAATGATGAATTTCCTTTATAGACTGTATTACGGAAAGAGGTT